ACCACTTCTGGGAAAACTCAAGGACGCCAGGATTCTCTCCACGGTGGCCAGCGGTACTCCTGAACCACAAATTTGAACCAAACCCTGACGCAGAAGCAGGAATCTCCCAGACTTTTAGAGCCCAACCTGCCGCCCTGAATCTTATGAGGAGAGTGTGAGTGTGAGTGTGAGTGTGTGCGCGCGCCCCGCTGGGGGGAGAGAGGAAGGGGGGTGGTATTAGCCATTAACCCCATCTCCCACAACTCTCTGTCCCTTTAAAATCGTAAGAACATTCTCAATCAGGTGATTTATACCCTCTCCAAGCCAAGCATTTCTGGCTTTCCAGATTACAAGCGCTATTTGCATTTTGAGGGTAGAGACCAAGGGATACTGCAAACCACCCTACAATGAACAAGACTCCCCCTCCCCACCTATGCAAACACCAAAGAATCACAGGATCCAAACTGTCAGCAGTGTCAAGGTTGAGAAACTCTGCTCTAGAATGAGGTCTAGCCAGCCCAGACCCTGCCTGAGGGCTGTCTGTCCAGGGTTATTCTCAAAAGAAGGATCCGGCTCAGTTACCGCCTACCTAGGTCCCCCAGTCCCTGGTAAAAGGCCAGTATTTACAAGTAGATCTAGGGTACTCCGGTCCTCACTGGCATTCCTTAAGTTCCCAGGTGGGAGGCTGAAGGCACAGGCAATCAGGGAGGGCTTCCTGAAGGAAAGGGGTGGGGGGTGCGGGGAGGAGGCTGGGGCTGACACGTGAGCAGTGGGCAGGGTCACAAAAGGCAGAAGTGAAGACGTCTCCTGCAGTGGCCACAACAGGTAGGTGGAACCAGCCCCGTGCAGCATATCCGCCAAGGACAGCAGGCTGTCCCTCAGAACAATGCTGCCCTGAAACAATGGGCAGGGCAGGCCAGGAGTCCGGCCTTCACAAAACCCCACCCAGGGGGCCACGGTTACCTGACATCGGTGCAAACAGTGAGTGTGCACTAGGTATGCACTCACTCTCACACGCACTCATCAGATCCTCAGCGTGTACCATGGGCACGCTTCACTCGGCTCCCTGGAAAGGAAGGAAGTTCCTCGCCGAAGTGCCAGAAGTCCAGGTGCCATCCGGGCGAATCGCGATGCCCAGGAAGACCCTGCAGAGTAGTGGGTGGCCATCAGGGTCTCTCTCCTGTGTTTTCACCCAGGTGGACAGCCTGGGAGGCTGGGTGAGTGTCTCACATCATCTACCTTGGAAGCATCTCTAAGAGCTGAGAGTGCCCACTCCTCCCCAAGGGGCAGCCCGGGCACCCAGCCAGGGCAGAGTCTGGAGTGCTTAGCAAGTATAAGGACACGGACACGCTTCCCCAGGGAAGGGTACTGGTGGCCCATGACCCTCTGGTCTGTGTCCTTGAGAGCCACCACCACACTGGGCCTGAGAGTCACTGCACTCACTGCATACACACATCCCCCTGAGAAAATGGAGCACATCTTTGGGTGGGAGAACAGTTGCCCACAAGGACAGCATGGAGCAGTCAGGGCTTGCACTTTCTGAAGGGACAGACAGGAATCCGGTCCTCCGCCCCAGCCAGGGGCCCCTGACATTTCACTCAGCGTACTCCCCAAGCCACAGGCCCTGATCTAAAGCCCAAGTACACAGACAGAGGTCAGGAGTTCTTGGGGGATACACAGATGTGTGTCTGGGATAACCGCTGCAAGGCAAGAGCCAAGTGACTTGTTTCAAAAGGACACTTGGCCAGGCACGGATCACAGAAGACTTGCAAAACTCACTAACGCTGATCTTATATCACACACTGTATATCATGACTGCAGCATCCATTCTGCCTTTTCGAATAGGCCTGCATCGTCTAATATGGTAGCCACTAGCCAAATGAGGCTGCTGAACATCTAAAATGTACAAAGTCTGAACTGAGACATTCTGTAAGTATAAAACATGCTGTGGATTTTGATGACAGTAAAGAATGTAAAATGTCTGTTTTAATACTGACTACAAGCTGAAATGACTGTGTCATATACATTCAGTTCAGTTCAGTCACTCAGTCGTGTCCGACTCTTTGCGACCCCATGAATCACAGCACGCCAGGCCTCCCTGTCCATCACCAACTCCCAGAGTTTACTCAAACTCATATCTATCGAGTCAGCCATCTCATCCTCTGTCATCCCCTTCTCCTTCTGCCCCCAATCCCTCCCAGTATCAGGGTCTTTTTCAATGAGTCAACTCTTCGCATGAGGTGGCCAAAGTATTGGAGTTTCAGCTTCAGCAAATATATTAGGTTAAATAAAATATACCATTAATTTGCCCTTGTTATGGGCTGAATGTGCCCCCTCAAAATTCTTATGTTGAAACTCTAATGCCCAATGTGATGGGATTCAGAGATGCGTCTTTGCAAAACCCCTTGATGAGGTTAGTGGAAGAGGAAAAAAAAACAAACAGTGCCCACTGGAAGCACCAGGTGAGGCCATGTGAGGATGCAGTGAGAATACAGCCATCTGTAAGCCAGCCAGACAGCCCTCCCCAAAACCTGACCATGCTGGCATACTGACCTCAGACTTCCAGCCTCCAGACTGTGAGAAAAGAGGTAAGTCACACAGTCTGGTATTTTCTTATAGCGGCCTGAGGAGGCTAAGACACACCTGTTTCTTTTTCAAAACTACCAGAAAAGTTTAAAGTCTTCCGTGTGGTTCCCTCTGCATCTGTTTGACAGTGCCGTCCTAGATCTTCCTTCTACAAGGGGGTGAGGGTACTTCTAAACAGCAAGCCCAGGGTCTGAAGGCAGCCCATCCAGGAGGATGGAGGAACAGGAGGACCAGCTCAGCCCCACCCGGGTCTGTGGAGGCTCCTCCCATAGTTCCTCACAGGTCAGGCAGTGGCCACCAGAGGACTGGCTGATGTGACCATAAGAAACACACAGTGACTCCCACCTTCCTACAGTAAAGAATCTGTCTGCAATGCAGGAGACCTGGGTTCGATCCCTGGGTTGGGAAGATCCCCTGGAGGAGGGCATGGCAACCCACTCTAGTATTCTTGCTTAGAGAATCCCCATGGACAGAGGAGCTTGGCGGGCTACAGTCCATGGGATCACAAAGAGTCGGACATGACTGAGCGACTAAGCACACACGTACAAACACTGTCCAAGCCAGGGAAGAGGATGGAAATCCCAGGGACCCAACCCCATCCTGCCTCACCTAATCAGGTGGGGACCTGACACTGGTCAGGACAGAAGAGTTAATTAGGGAAGAGGCCACCTCTGAAGGCCTGGTCTTCGAAGAGCCCAGCAGCGCCAGGAGGGATCCAGAGACAGCTACGTGAGCCGCTGCTTGCCTAGTAAGTAGGCTAGCTGCAGCCCTTCCCTCTAGAGGCCAATGTCCTTCTTCACTTCAGAGATCTCACTTGGGACTAAAGCATCTCAAAGCAAAACTTCAAAGGCAGAGAAGGGAACAGGTTCAACACCACCGACACTTTGCTTCTGTGACACATGAAATGGCTCCAAAAGATCCATGACCCCCTTCCATATGGTGCCCAAGTACCAATAAGGGGGCGCTTCCCAGGTGGCTAGTGGTAAAGACTGCGCCTGCCAATGCAAGAGATCCAGGTTGGCTCCCTAGGTTGGGAAGATCCCCTGGAGGAGGAATGGCAACCCACTCCAGTATTCTTGCCTGGACAATCCCATGGACACAGAGGAGCTTGGTGGGCTACAGTTCACGGGTCGCAGAGTCGGACATGACTGAGCACGCATGCATCCACCAGTTAAGGGGTCTGTCTTCCAGTCGCTGCATTCAAGTTACGCAGCTCCAAGCCCCACAAGAACTTACTTGCCTTCGGTGCAGACGGCTAAGCCATGATACACCGGAAAGGACGCCGGTAGAGTGGGAGTGGGGATAAGGAGATCCGGGATCCCCACCCCCGCAGCAGCCTGGGGATCCCAGCCCCGCCCCTGCACTCCCGGCCCCGCCCTTCGCGGGTTTCCCAGGCTCTAAGCTGCTGCCACCGCGGGCGGCAGGGGACCCGCGCTGCATGTGTAATGGGGGCTGGGAACAAAGACGCGCAGGACCAGCTCCCCGGCTGCCGCGCACCAGCCTAAGAGACCGTCCCGAGCTTCTCCCCGAAGCTTTAATGCGCGGCTTCCCAGGGCTGCCCAGAGTCATCCGAAGCCGAGTGCGGAGCCGGTCCGCGCGCGCACACTAGAGTAGGGCGCGTCCCAGTACCGCTAAAAGAGGAAAATCTGTGCGCCGGCCAGGGGGAAACGCGATCTCCCAGCGCAACTCCGCGTGTATACACCCGCACCCACCCACCCTCAGCCGCTAGCACGCAAGCCGAACGCTAGCAGGGTCACCCACCCCCGCCACGTGCTTTCCCAGAGGTCAGGACGAACAGAGACCTGTTGGTTTTTCTTCTCGCCCCACCTCTCCTTCCAGGTGCCCCAAAACAAAGCAGTTTCTCAGGGTGACCGCACCTCGCGTACCGGGGCACCGCAGGGAGAGCGGGCGCAGGTGGGAGCTGGCTCCAACGGCGCGCCTCCCGGGTAACACCACGCAGACGTGGTGGGGTGGAGTGTAAGAGACTCCTCTGGGCTGTGCGAAGCGGCCCGCTTCGCTCCGCTACACCTAAGTGGCTCTGAGGGTCGCGCAATCCTGCCCCCAGCCGAGGCTGCACCTACAATCCCGCTACCTCTGTATAAGATCTGCCCGCCCCCCTTGGCCACCTTCCCCATACTCCGATTTTCATCTCACTCTCTCTGGGTTCCACGCGCCCATATAGCCTGAACCCCGGCCCTGGGGTCGCCTCCGCGAAAGGGAGCCCCGCAGGCCGCCGCACAGGCAAGATCATCCCCCCAAGATCAACGAGCGGGGCGCCCTGCGCGCCCCCTGTCCCCGCCCCGGGAGGTGCAAGCTGGGTGCAGGTGGCGCGGCAAGGAGGCCGCGGGCCCGCCCTTTGTTGGTAAACACCGCGCGGCGCCCGAAGCCGCCCCGCGTGCCCTTCCTGCGCCCCCCACGCCGCGCCCCGTTCTTACCGGCGCACAGAGATCCCCAGAGGAGGGCGAGGGCCGCCCAGGGCGCCGTCATGTTCCGCGGCGCCGCCCCGCGGACACCCGGAGCCCGCGGGCAGGGCCGCGCGGCGCTCCCGGGGCGCGCAGGGCCCGGCGGCGGCTGCGCTCTCCTTCCCGCTCCTTCCTTCGGCCTCGTTCCCCGCGCGATTCCTGCGCCTTCGTTCCCGGCAGCGTGCAGGCTCCAAGGGCCGGACGGCGGGGCCGGGCTCAGGGCCGCTGCGGGCGGCGCAGACTTCGGCCCGGGCTCCGGGACGACGCGGGGGCCGGGGGGCGGCGGCGGGGCGCGGGCCGGGGCGCGCCCGACTCAGGCATCGCGCGGCGGGGCTGGGCCCGGGCCCCGGGCACAGGGGCCGAGTCCGGAGGGGCCATGAACGGGGGGAGGGGTGGGGGGGAGGGGAGCTGAACCGAGTCCAAAATGGCTCCTGAGCCGCGGCCGCGGAGCCGAGCCAGCGGGGAAACCCGGATGTTGGATACAAAGAGGCGGGCGAGCTGGGCGGGGAGGGGGAGGGGAGGCGGGCCCTCCGGCCGCGTGGTCCGCGCCCCCCTCGGGGGCGGGGCCCCAGATAAACAACAAACGAAGGCCCCGCCCCCCGGCCGGCGTGGTGCGGAAGGTGTGGGCAAACTGCACGACCCGAGGGCGAGGCAGGGCGAGGTGGCAGGATTGAGTCCTGGACCACTTAGCCCCGGGACCCCGGGACCTCGTGGCCGCGGCACCGTGATTCCTGCTTTGCACTCTAGAGCCCACGCTCCCGATAGCATGCTGCTTTGCGACCGCGGAGAGGCTGGGTCGCCCCGGACTCTGACCTGGATTCCCCTCTGCGCCTCCGTCTCCCCACCTGAGATGGGGGTCACAGTGAACCACAGGAGACGTGTCTGTATTGATGGGCGAGCTAATCTGCAGAAAAAAAGGCTGATTTCCCTAAAATGACAAGTGGTCTCTTACGTCTGCAACCCAACCCCAAACACACACAAAGGCACAGCTGGGGATCTTGAAATTGGACACATCCCAGGGAGGGAGAGTGGGAGCCCCGCCCCCGCAGAGCAGCAGCAGATGGAAAAGGGCCTCTAGCAACTTGCCTCTCTACCCTTAACCCCGAATGGTCTCTCAGCACTGCACCCACCTAGCCTCCGCCCGCCCACCCTCACCCCAACCCACCCCACCCCACCCCCGCTTTAATATGCACCTTCAAAACTGTTCTCAGTTGTTCCCGTAGTTAAGCTTGTCCAGCGGGTGTCTCTGCTACCCTCTTCACGCCCCCTCCCCAGATGCCTTCTAGAGAGCCCCTTGTTTTCTGGGTTGGTTTCCACCATCCTTACTACAATCAGGTCTTGGGAGGGTCATGATGGAGAAGGAAATGGCAACCCACTCCCTCCCATGGCTTCCTATTATGATGGCTAACAAATTGGTATATGAACAGCCCTACTTCCTCCACCATCTCACCATCATCAGCCAGACACACTGACCTACTTTCTGTTCCCAAGACACATTAAGGTGGTTTCTGCCTTAGAGCCCCCCACCGGAAACTCCCCACTGGCAAGGCTGGAGTTGAACTCCCCACTGGCATGGGGAGTTCCCATGATTCTCTTGCAGAGCTGAAATCCATGTTGTTAGGCTCATAGGATTAGCCTCTGTCTCGACCACCATTTGCTCATGTGCCCACAGGCTGTTTGGGAAGGTGATGCTGGGTATCTGAAATATCAGGCATGAGATGATGGGAAGCTGAAAGGCAAAAACCCAACAAATGTCCACTCTAAAATTTATGGCAGGGAATTCTGCCATTCAGGAATTCTGTGTGTTGGAACCACTCTTCTTCCCATTTTCTTCCTTCCTCAGTGATCAAGGTGGGAAACCAAGGGATCAGGAAGAAACAGCTGAGCATGGCATCCTTCCATATCAAGTTAATGACAGAAGATAGAAGACTATAGCGTTATACTACTTGGTATCTGTATAGTTATAACGCGTTCTATTGTGAAGCTTAAGTACATTTAACTGGCAAGATAAACTCTTAAAGGAAGCACAATTTTTGTCATTTTATTTAGAGATCTTTTTATTTAAACACACAGAAGTAGCCCCAGCCTGTTTCAGCTCATGAAAGGCCCTGACTATATAGAGATATACCATAGCGGGTAATTATGAGAACTATGGGAAACATACATGAGAGTATATATTAGTGGGTAATTTAGGTACATTAAATTACCAGTACATTAAACAATTTCAGGGGCTACGTTAATTGGATGGGTGCATGGCTTTTTTGGCAATACAATTCTCCCCAAACGTATCCATTTACTTCCAATCTGTCCCATGTGCCATCAACTTCAAAAGTTATTTCCCAGACATTTCAAAACTGTTTTCTTTCTTGTCCCCACAGTTCTTCCCACCCTGTCTTAACTTAGTGGTGGCTACCTTGAGGTCAACTAAATTAGTTGGCTTGGATGGTAATTAGGTAAAAAGGTAACTCTCCGTAGCTCTTATAACAGATTAGATTATGCTGTGCTAATGGAAAATCCCCAAACCCCAGTGGCTCAAAACAACAAAATTTATTTCTCACTCATACTGTAAGTCTGCTGGGGGTCGGGAAGCAAGCTATACTCATTATAGTAACTTAGTAACACAGGCTGATGGAGGCTACATTTTGATACATGCTTCTACTATTGCAGAGAGGGGGACAAGAGCCTGGTAAATTACATTCAAGCTCTTAAAACTTCTACCAGATTCTGAGAAGATGGGGGCTAGGTTTGTGGCTGCATACCTTTTGAATCTTCCAAAATTCTCACAGAGTAACTACATGGAAGAAGAAAAAAAAAAAAACAACAAAATCCATGTACATTTACAATAAAACCAGGTGACAAGGTTTCCCCCAAAACACCAGAATACACATGAATCGAGACAACTACCAACAGCAATAAAAGCTTCATGGACTAGTCTGTGCAAGGGGAAGCTGAGGAATGGGGTGAAAGAGGTACCTGGGAAATACAGAATCCCAAAATAGCTAAGAGATAATCACTGGAAAGCACTGATTCAGTAACAAGAACAGTTGGTGAAACTAGGAGGGGTTTTTTTCCTTCAATAGTGAGTGAATCAAAGAGACTGGTAAGAATAAAAAAACTAGAATGGTCCATCCTTGTGAACTCTTAAAACTGACAGGCCAAGCCTCCTTTTTAGGTCAGGCTCCTACAAGGTGGAGAAACCTCTGGAAGTGCTGGATAAGATGTTTTACTTACAGTCATCATGCAGTAGCTGGAACAGTTATTTGCCCTTTGGAGCCATGACAAGGAAACTGGACAAAAGATAGGAGTCAACTATCTTTGGATTTTGCACCATCTTGAAACCTCTGTGAAATGAGAAATAGTTGAAGTGAGGCTTATGATTGCCCCTGCTTTCTGCTTGGAGACACATTCCAGGCCACAGTGCAGCAAGTGCGTAAAACAAGCAGAACCTGGTCACCTTGCAGAGTTGGGATCGGAGACAGAGGTTGGAGATGGGAAAACTGAAGGAGCAGAGAGAGGAGGGCACGGCATTGAGAAAGCTGGAGGTCTGCAGATAAGTCTCCTTGGGGCTTTTGCTGAATTCAAGGTTTCACATACTTAGAATCAAACTCCATGAGGGAAGCAAGCAAGCTGAATAGCTCCAAGACTGGCACAGAACACTTTTTATTTCTAACTGGTCAAAGTGGACAAGTCCTTACTCAACACCCAGGACACTGGAAGTAAAGACTCAGAGGGTCACTCCAAGGGCAGTGGAGATGAACTAGCCCTGGAGTCAAGGCTCTGTAAATGCACACTGCCAAGCCTTGCCGTGATCAAGCTGGTCTATAAGTAACTTAAATACCTACCAGACAACAGGTCAACACCTTTTTAAAAGAATTCAACACATCTGGCACTGTACCATAAAAGAATTTACAATGCCCAACATTTAATTTTTTAAAATAACTGAATATGAGAAGAAGCAGGAAAATGTAACCCGTCAGGAGGAAAATCAGTCATTAGAAACAGACAGAAATGGCAGAGATGATGTTACTATCAGTCAAAGAATTTTTAAAAAGCTATTTTAAACATGCTGAAAGACATTTGGAAACAGGAACATCATGAAGAGAGAATGAAATACTTCAGAAATAGACTTTCAGGAGATAAAAGAAATACAGTGTCAGGGGACATATGTATACCTATGGCTGATTCATGTTGATGTTTGGCAGAAACCAACACAATTCTGTAAAGCATTTATCTTTCCATTAAAAAACAAACAAACAAAAAAGAAAGTGTCTTTTTTTTTAATTGGGTAGAATTGACATTTTATTTTTTCCTGTATTTTTAATTCATTTAACTGTTTTATTTTTATCAGTGTTACAGTATTATAAAGCTATACTTCACCTGTCACTGTTTTAATTATATCCTATAGATTTCATTATCAATCTTTTTTCTGTCCATTAATTTTTCTTTTTAACACATTTCTATAAGTTTTATAAGTATTTTACACCTAGATCTTGAACATTTTGATTTTTTTTTTGCCCCACTGTACAACTTGCAAGATCTCATTTCCCCTACCAGGGATAGAACAGAGACAGTGAAAGTGCCAAGTCCTAACCACTGTACCATCAGGGAATTCCCTCAATCACTTTGTTGGACACTCTGAAATTTTGCTTTATGTTTTCCCTTTGCCCCAGGAGTCCTTTGACTTGCACATTTTGTCTTTGCAACAGAGCTCTTTGAGGTTTTATATATATATATATATATAAAACATTTATCTATTTATTTACTTATTTGGCTACACCAGGTCTTAGTGGGAGTTAGTTCCCTGACAACAAACCCAGGCCTTCTGCATTGGGAGAACAGAGTCTTAGCCACTGGACCACCAGGGAATTCTCATGACAGCTCTTTATACTGTCCTCTTCTTTTTTTTAATTTAGTTGTTACTTCTACCTTGTCAAAACATGTACCATTTGATACTCTTCTTCCACCCTAATCCCCACTTTCACTTCGGTCTTAGATCTAAAAGGATTCAGTGCTCACTAGCAATCCTTTTGCTGAAGTTTCCCCAATCATCTAATTGGACGAGGCTTGTTTTAGTAGAATACTGAGGAGTTGAGTACAATATTTCCTGAGCTCTTGCATGATTAAAACTTTAAAAACAAACAAACAAACAAACAAAAAATCCGTGATACGTAAAGGGCAGTTTAACTAGACACAAAACACTCGGTTCATAACTTTTCTCTGAGTTTCTTGAACATTTGCTCCACTGCTACCTTGCTTTTTGATGCCAACCTGATCTTTCCGGAGACTGTCTGTCATTTTCTTTCTGGGCCTTTCCAGCTCTTCACGTTGTTTTTGCTGCCTTAGCTTTCTTCATTCTTATCTTCTATATGATTTATAGTACTTGTGGTCATTCTTATTTTCATTTGGATATGTTGTAATTTAGTCTTCATCACCTAGGGTGATTTTATCTTTCTGTTCAAATTCTTCCCCAAGTTTGGTCCGTTCTCTTTTCACATTATCCGTTGTTCACATTTTCATTTTTATTCCAAGTTTCTAGATTTCTGATCTGTGGTATTCTTTCACAGCCACAATTGTTTCTTATTTTTTGAAGTTCATGTTAGAGGGTTGTTATAATTTACCCTTTGTTCCTTTTTACGTGAAGTATGTCATTAGCCTTAAAAGTTATGATTCTCACTTTGTTTTCTTCTCGTATTTGTATAAATAATCAGCTCCTTTTTCTGTTTATGTTGATATCCCTGTAATAATGGGCAACTCTATGGGGGCAGGGGTAAAATGAGGAGTGGATTGAACAACTTACTCTTTTTTTTGATAGGAGACTTCTTGTTTGTTGGTCAGTAATGGAATTTCTTTAATAAGTAATGTCCAAGTGGTGGTGAGGTGGGGGGAGAATTGTCTATTTTCTTCTGAATCTTTGACCTGCTGTTGATGGGCTGTGGTCTTCAGCTTTCTGCTTCCTTTTTTGCCTTCATCCATCAAGCTTAGAAGGGTATCACTCCCTTTCAAAATGACTTCATCTTTTTCAGATGTGGTATCTCTTATCCTACTTAAACCTCTAAACTCCTTCCCTCGACTTCCCACCAGTCTCCTCTGATCCTCTAGGTCTCAAACCTGTTGCAGCATTTGTGTCCTCTGGATGAGACCACAAGTAGTTAGGTTTAACCCAAGTCCAACTTAGGTGCAGGCCTGTGGCAACAGAAAAATCTGGAGGATTTTGCAGGAGGCGGGTCACAGAGGACTTTCTATGGAGGCTTTGCAATAATTTCAGCAAGGAATAAAAGGGTCTAAAGTAAAACAGGGAGGGGTGGAGAGAAAGGAACTACTTTTAAGGGATTACTGAAGGAATAACCAAAGTTACTTGGTGACGGATCTGAGGTGGGAAAGCAGATATCTGAGTTCTGAGTTTGGGTTCCTGAATGAATGAATGGATAGATGGTGGTACCAATTCACTGAAACACAAAGCCTGGAGGAGGAGGTTTGGGGAAGGGCATGGGAAGATGAGTTGCGTCTGAAGTACCCCTTTGAGAATGCTGACCAACTCCAGAGAGAGTTCTGGCTGCAAACACCAAGCTGGGTATAACTAGTATTTAAGGAGCAGCTGAAGTCCAAGGCTAGATGAAATCACCCAACAAGAGGGGACAGAATCGGAGAGAAGGAGGAATGAGAACAGAGATTTGGGGCCCAGCAATAACTGAAGAGTAGATAGGGCAGAAGTCTCAGTAAAGAAGAAAGAATGATGAATAAGGAAAGCAGGTGGAGAAGAAAATGGTAACCCACTCCAGCATTCTTGCCTGGGAAATCCCATGGACAGAGGAGCCAGGTGGCCACAGTCCATGGCATCCAGAGTTGAACCAACTGCGCACACGTGCACACAAGGAAAGCAGAAGAAAAGTTGGAGAGAATGGCTGTCAGAAAGAAAACAAAAAGAAGAATCATCACTGCAATGGATTAAGACATACAGAGTATGTTAAATGTATCATACTGATACTAAAAACCTAATTGCTTTCAGAGGATGCTTGGGGATCAACTTATCATCCTGAAAACTGGTGAATAAAGAGGAAAGAATCTATTTATTTTGCTTTGTCTTTCCCAGTCTGCTGATTTAGGTCCTGAAAGGGGAGAAGTCACAACTTTTCTTGGATATATCCCAAGCTCAGTGTTATCTTGCCTCCTGGGATAAAGAGAGGAAAACAGAGATGCCTTCCTGCCCTGGGTACAACGGCATGGGGGTGCAAGCAGCCCATCTGGACTCAGGAGGATGTGCTAAGATGGGCTTTAAGGTGGTCCCAGGCAGGGCTGGAGCACCACAAGAAATCAGGTGGGGAAGTGGGGAGGGCAGAGCTGCCCAGAATAGGGAAGAGGATCCCAGCTGTCCAAGGCCACATCTCCAGGTGGGGTCAGGGGGCCTGGGCCTGCAGAATTCACTCTGGAGGTCCCCGGGTCTGGCTCAGGATTCTCTGCTCAAGCATAGCATACCGCTGGAGGAGGGCCTCATAGACCTGGAGGGGTGGAAAGAGCAGTTTAGGATGGGGAAGGGAAGGTGCCTCTTACATCTCTTTGCAAATTACAGTTTAAAAACTTTTCCATCCCGCTCACTTACAATTTAATTTTTTTTGCTGGGCAGACAAAAGAGAAGTGTCAATTCACAAAAGAGGAAATGGTAGTAGTTCCCCAACCTGTAGTTTTAAGATCTTTAAAAAATGGGAACTAAGACAAGAAACCAATTTTTGTTCTTAAATCTACAAAACATTTAAAAATTCTGAAGAAGGTGCCTGGAAATGACTGTCTCTTTGCACAGTTGGTAGAAGTTGGTGGTGCAACACTTTTGGAAATCACCTCAACTTTACATTTGGATAAAGGGGCTTGAAAATGCCCATAGCTTTCGACCTGGTTATTCTACTCCGCAAAGCTCTCCTAAAGAAATAATCCTAAATGTAGGGTGCTAGGTACACCAAAGGTCTTCTCAGACACCACTAAACATTCAGACTCATAAGACTACCATGGGTTACACCTTGACCCTCAACAGAATATACTGGAGAAACATGAGTGCTGGCACAGTGGCTGAAAGGGCCCATGAACAGTTTGTACAGGTGTCCAGGGAAGGGTCTCTTTGCCTCCCTGCCTTCTTCCCTCCCTACCCCCCAGGTCACAGCTCAGATGCAAGGAGATGAAATCCACATCTTACAGGTGCAGTAGCCTCATTTGCCACAGGAGTATCTCTCCCAACAACTCCGTGGGCAAGAGATGTGCCTGTGAGAGGTCACAGCACTCAGGGAGCCCTAAGTCTGACTTACCCTTAGGTATTTGCGTTTTCCCACTTAAGATGCAGTTTCCTCATTCAAGACCATATGGCCATAAGCAATGTTGCCTAGTAACACTGTTGACATTCCATTTTTTATTAAGTCTCAAAGGAAGCAGAGCTAGAACATTAACCAAAGGTCAAATTCTCATGCAGAACAGGCAGAGGTTTTGTTAATCCTTTACCCACATAGGATTAATCATAATAATAAAAAAACTAGAAGCAGCTGCTCTTAAGACATGGAAAATGCTTGAGAAATGTGGTTCATCAGCCAGTCAGAATATTATGCAGTCATTAAAAATAACATGTAGGCACATTTTTAAGAATATAAATATTTGGTTGTAATGTAGAAGTTTAAAAGTGGGATACATCTGAAAGAATACTTTAACACACAATCAGGCAAACTGTGATTTGGGGAAATATATCTTGATGAAAATGAGGCATAAAATGGAGAGTGAAGAGAGCTTGCAATATGGAATGTAGAGATTTGTAAAATTAAAATCTGTCAATAGAGTAATAGTTGCAAATATTCAAACAATAAAGTCTGTGGCTAAAGGAGCTAAAAGGAAAAAAAACTAAAATGGACTACAAAATTATGTATATAATGTGCTATAAAATAAAACCCAAACCAAAAAACCAACAAGTGAAAAAGGGCCAGAAAGATATACAATCCCACATTCTTCCTCTTCATTCCTTTCGTTTAAAGCTCTTTTAGCCTGTAGCTTGCACAAGTGTAAGCCTTGCAGTTCAGGTCAGTGTGTGTTACAGATAAGACATCACAGACCAGCAACACTGAAGACCAGGATCCATATTTCCATGGGACTCACATATACCACTAGGAGGTCATGCCAATCTCAATTTGGCTTAACCGGCCCCTAAAGCAAGGACTTTAGCAACTGATTATGCAACAGGGCCTCTGCCCATGAACTCAGTGGGGAAGTAAGGGGGCCTTTGATCTCCCCAAGGAGGAAACTGAAACATTCAGCTGAGCCTACAGGGAAAATACAGTTCCTGTCTTGAGTTTTGACTTGAGCACAGGTGCGCCATAGAAGGCAAATAGAGGATGCTGCCCGGCTGTTTACAATCCAGTCCTCAAATAAGTCACTTGTGCCAACAATCACAGCCTGTCACTGCTTGCCAGCTAGCGCTGAGAAGGATTCTGAGGTTACACTTGGGTTGAACAGTAAAGAGTTCCATGAGCTATTAGCGACTGGTCATAAGCAAGCCAGGGAGAGTGGCAGGACACACACCGAGTGTTTGCCACCTGTCATGAGGCAGGCGCAGCTGTTTGTTACCCTAAAGCTTTCCCCAGCTCCCTTCTTCCTTTCTGGCCACCTTCTAGAGGATAACAGAGCAGCCAGACTCTACCCCCGGCTGACTGTATAACCAAGTGGTCATCCGCTGGGGGAGTTGAGGGGAACAGAGTAATACGTTTCTCCCTGATAAGCAAGAGTGTGTGAGGAGACACTCTGCCCAATGCCATGGTCTGATTCCTGCCTGTGAACACAGCTGTGGGCAGACAGGATGTTAGAAGCAGCTACAAACATCCTGTGGCCATGTGGAGCATGGCTAGTGCAGCACGATCCACTATGGTAGCCACAAGCCATATGCGGTCCTGAGTGCTTGCAATGTGACTGCTGCTGCTAGTAGAAAATACATACCAGATTTCACAGCTCATCCACACACACACACACACACACAAAGTAAAATATCACACAAGCAACTTATTAATTACATGTTGAAATGACAGTAGTTTGGACATTTTGAATATATTAAAGTCAGTCACTTTTTTTTATTTTTACGAGACTACCAGAGGATTTAAATGACATGTGGTTCTCATGATGTTCCCTTTGTCCACTGATGATCTGGAGAATGTCAAAGAACCTGACCCAGAGCCCTGACACAGCTGAACCACTGAACCAATACTGGCAACACCATCCGACCTCCTGTGGTATAACAAAGCCATGCTAGGCAAGCATTCTTTTTAAGCCTCACAATGAGTAGGTTAAAAGCAGGCTGGAAAAAAAAAAAAAAAAAGCAGGCTGGACAAATGTCCCCCAGTTCCCATATGAAGAAACAGAGGTTTGCAGATGAGTGCAGGTCAAGGTCACGTGAAGGTCACATGGAGAGGGAGAGGCATGATAAGAATCAGAACCCAAAGGCCCTTTATCTCAAAGCAGGCTCTTTCGACTGCATTGAGCTGCCTTTTAAACAGGAAACACAACAGAAAGTAATGGCAGCCTGGGCAGACCCATGTGGGCGGGTTATCTAATCACCTGGAAAGTAGGAGCTTCTGCTTCCAAGACAGGGGGGGAGACAGTTCTCCAGGGTGTTTCTACACATCTTGTGACAGCTTTTGTTCCTGACTATCTCTTCACGAGTGTTTGTATAGCAAACAGCCTTGGAAGATGGACAGAGGGGAAATTGGTGTGCTGATCAGGATCAGAAAGATAAGGACTCCTTTGAGGGCCAAGGCTGGACCGGTTTGTTGGCAGCTCCTTTAAGATGCTGGGGGATTCCTAAGCTTGGGGTCCCCTCAGTTGGGTCACAGACACAGTGAGGGCACACCATCATGTGGGTCCACTCCACACTGCCCCAAGGCTCTTTAAGGCCAAGGAACACTGATACAAACATGGAGCCTATACTGCCTGCGGTACTGTGAGTAATAAAGCCCTCTGTTTGGGTCGCCCCTGCTCCTGGGCTGCAAGAACCTTCTACAAACTGGAAAGGCGGTGCAAACCATCCAGACTGCCCCTTGCTACAACTGGGTAAAACTCGAAAGCGTCATCCCAGCTTCAGAACTTCCTGTAGGATTGGCCGAGGGCTCCACTGAGATGGCACTGCAGCAGCTGCTCTCTCACCTTGCCCCAGCCCTGCCTCTTCCATTGCCCTTCCACAGATGCAGATTCCAAGAGTGCCCCCTCATAAACCTCCTATATGTGCAAGTGTTAGTTGCTCAGTCGTGTCCGACTCTTCGAGACCCCATCTGTAGCTCCTCTTTCATGGGATTCTCCAGGCAAGAATACTGGAGTGGGTAGCCATTCCCTTCTCCAGGGGATCTTCCCTACCCAGGGATCGAACCTGGGTCTCCTGCATTGCAGGCAGATTGTTTACCGTCTGAGGCACCAGGGAAGCCCATAAATCTCTTGCATCCTCATCTACAACTCAGGGTCTGCTTTCCAGGGTAGCAACTTGTAGCAAGTGGGGTCTGTGTTCCCAAGCTGAGGAACCACACAGTTGTCTTGGATCCAGACTTCAGATCTGAACAGTAGAAACCCAGCGTGTCTTACGCTTAAGTGACAGTCTTTCAGCGGCTTCTGTAACCCTGTGAATTAGAAGCAAGCACCCACTCCAAGGCATCAGAGCAAGGAAGATGCGCCCAGTGGGCCATCTGATCCCTGGGGCTACAAGATTAGAGGTATCTCTGAATCTCAGAGACAACCTGATTCCTTTGCTCTATTTTTTTGACAATTAAAAAAGAAAAAAAAGTAGATATCCTCTTCAGTTGAGCACATCAACTGTAATGTAGGTGACAAAGAAAATACTTATGTTTTGGAAATAAGAACCTAGTTGGTTTTTCACAATGCAAGTGCCACAAATACATATGGATGGTCTCTTACCTGAGACGCTCCTGGGGTTGGGGTTGCAACTAATCTGGGATTTGGGGCTAACTTCACGATCTCTGCGAAGGGCACGACTGTTCCAGCTGCAAGGCCTAGAAGGGACAGCTCGTTTTGTATCAGTGTATATTGCAAATGAAGGCGCTACCCAGAAATAGCATTTTATCTCTGGAGTGAGAATATGTTCCAAAACTGGATTATGGTGACAGTTGTACAACTTAATAAAATGTTTGGTTTCTTTTTTCCCTTTATATTGGCTGTGCCGAGTCTTTGTTGCCGCACACGGGCGTCTCTTGTTGCAGAGTTCAGGCTCAGTTGCTCTGAGGCCTGCAGGATCTTAGTTAACCCATGTCTCACCCATGGATGGTGGATTCTTAACCACTGGACCACCAGGGACGTCCCACAACTTAGTAAAGTTACTAAAAAACGCTGAATTGTATAGTCAAGTATGGGTGATTTTTTTACATCATATAAATTGTACCTCCATAAAACCATCTTAAAAAAGGGGAGAAAGCGAAGACAAGTTTCGAGAGCAGCCCTCCTTCTCAGCAGGGCCTAGTCTGTCGGAAGTGCATGTTAGGAGGCAGCTAACCTCTGAGCTCTGACAGAGGGGAGGGTCTGCCTGCCTCCCCTCCCTCACATGAGTCCACTCTCCCCATCGCTCACTGCACTGCAGTCACCCCAGCTTCTCTCAGTTCCTTCTGCCCGGAGCCTTTTCACTGTGCAGAATGTTCCCTCCTCTCTTTTCAAAGGCGCTGCCCCTAAGAACATCCCTGCCGCCTGTCCGCTCTCCTCAGGGCGTGTCACACCACTGCCACAGGTTTAAGGGCTCTCCCTTCCTGAGACGGACGCTCCGAGAGGCCAGGCCTTGGTCTCCACTGGAGCCCCGGTGTCGAGCACACTGCCTGCGTCCAGGAGGCACTCAGTAAGGACGCACCAAGCAAAGGAGAGACGGGGCTGGAAAGAGGGAGGGCGGCCGGAGGTGGGCAAGGGAAAAAGAGGAATTTCCAAGCAAATTAAGGAGCAGTATCAGACTGAAGGGAAACTCAAGACCAAGAGGGAAGGAGGGCCCACTCAAGATGGGAGGCCTGGTTCTCGCGCGGAATGCTGGAATATCCCAGTCCAGAGCTGTGTGGATGAGGGGCCAGTGGATGGCGGGGTGGCCCCCAGAGAGACTTCTCCAAAGACTCTGGTCCCGCTCCACTTACGGCCTGGCTTTGTGTGACTGGCTTTTGTCCCTAGACATAGCTGGAGAGAATGGGTGTGGACATAAAGTGGGAACTGGTGTTCTAGGACTTAGCTCAGGTTTTAGTTTTGCATGGCAGTACAGGGCAGTGTCCCCAAGTAATCTCTGGCAACTAAACAGGCACAGAAGGGAATTCCCTGGCTGTCCAGTGGTTAGCACTCAGCACTCTCACTGCCAGGGCTTGGTTCAATCCCTGGTCAGGGAACTAAGATCCCACAAGCCAAGCAGTGCAGGGGGTAAAAAAAACGATGGCATGGAAAAATAAGAAAGAAAAACAGTGCAGAACAGCAGTGGAGGCCCCAAAGAGTAGTTCCTTTCCTGTTTTGGCAGAAGGAGTATAAAGTGAACCCCACTGAAGGCTGGCTGTATATTCTAACAAAACTAGCATAGAAATGAAGAAGGAAAAAGACTGAAGGGAGTCACCAAAAAAAAGGAAACAAAGACAAACTCCAAGTGTAGATAAAGTCAACAGGATGTAAAGTTTGATTAAAAACAAGAGTCTAGAGATAAATTGCCCGATGATCTCTATATGGAGGTGGCACCATATGGGATAAGGAAGACGGGGGAGGGAAGGGAATGAAAGAGTAACAGTTTAAGAGGAGGCTATGCTCCCTGATTAATTCTCAATGTTCAAAGAAAAAAATACAAGGTTAAATAAGTGTGTTAAGAAGTTAAGGATAAAGGTGTGAAGAATGGAACGGCCAGAGGGAAAGGACACAGCCCTGGAGGTACGTGGGTGGGCAACCTCAGCAGGCAGAGGCTATGGCAAATGGACCACACGGGTGAAACAACATCCCTGTGGGCCTTTGCTGCTCCCCTAGTTTCTGCGACGCCTCTCTCAGAGCCATGGTCCCCCCGTGGAGCTGTCCAGGGTCCTGGACTGCTTGGCTCTGAAGCGTTCACTTTTGTGTCCATTTCCTGCTCTTGTTGAAAAGACGGCTCTGGGCATCATCCACCCCTCCTACCTACCCGCTGTCCAGACTCAGACCAAGTGCCCTCAACCAATGTCTGGGCAGGCTTCGTTTAGTTAGGACTGTGCCTCTCTTTTCCAGTTTAAATAAAAAATAAAGGCACAGAGGGCTTGGGAGGGGAGAAAAGTGAAGCCCGCCATGTTCCTGAAGACTGAGAACATCCCAATCTCCCCTTTCCACTGTCCTCGGCCCAGCCAGTGCCCCAACCGCTTCCAGGGGTGTCTGCCCCCATCCATCCACCTACCATGGAAAGCTCGGTAAGCGGAGCCCACACAGGCAGAGTTGGTGGTGTCTATGACGTACACGGGTGCACCAAACACATCTGCAAGCACCTGGAAAGGACAGAGGTTCTTACTGTGGCGAGTCATTCCTTAGAGGGGCTGTGGACACAGACTTGAATTTTCCAGGCTCTCTTTTCTCATGCCTTCTGATACCTTCGATTCCACCTCTACCACCTTAAAGGAAGTACATTTGACCATGCCTGCCACCCTGGTGATCCCAGGGTCAGGGTGACCTGGGAGAGGTCTCCATTGGAGGGCCTAGGATCTCCAGGTTGGCCCTGCACTGTTTAGCCATTTTATCAAAGACAAGGAGGAAGTTTTAGACTGGACGCTTAGCAAACAGCCAAGGTGGAGACGGCTAGGTCTCTTGACTATTACTAACAAGATCAGACAAACCCAAACTAACAAGAGCAGGTCTTATAGGGATAAACATAAAGCTTTCCATGTAAGTCCCCCAGATAAACTGTGTTAGTTTAGAATAGAGGACCTGTACTAAGAGGAGCTCATGTGGAAAAGACTCGAGGTTCTTAGTTCATGAGAGATATTGGAGATGTGCTTCCCTAGCGGCTCAGCAGTAAAAAAAAAAAAAAAAATCCGCCTGCAATGGAGGAGACATGGGTTTGATCCCTGGGTCAGGAAGATCTCCTGGAGAAGGAAATGACAACCCACTCCAATATTCTTGTCATAGGAAATGCTATGGACAGAAGGGCCTGGCAGCCTACAGTCCATGGGGTCACAAAAGGGTAGGACGCGACTTGGCGACTAAATGACAGAACTGTTGATGTCCCATCCAGATCCCCTAACTGGGCTGGCGTGCACCCTCACCCACATGTCGTGAGTATTGGCTAACAGTTCACAACTGCCTCTCAAAAGAATTGCTCTTGGGACTGCACATGCTCAAAAATGCAGAGAGTGAGGCTGAACAGAAGGGCTTAGATGCAGATTCTCTGGTCAGTGAATACATCCAGGTGAACAAAGCCCCCAAAATGGGGCACAGGACTTACAGATCTCACAGTCAGATCAACCCGTACATGAGCTCTCCTTGCCACACTGAGGCAATTCTTACTGAAAAAGAACAGATTGCTCCTAAACCAGAAGAGGAGGTTGCACAAAAGAAAAAGATATTCCAGAAGAAATGGAAGAAACAAAAACTTATGGCCCTGGAATAAACGCCGCAAAAAATAAATGCAAGTAAAAGTGATTAAAAAAAAAAAAAGAATTGCTCTTGGAACTCCCCTGGCAGTCCAGTGGTTAAGACTCTGTGCCTTCCAATGCAGGGAGTGCAGGTTTAATCCCTGGTCAGGGAACAAGGATCCCACATGCTGCAGGGCACGGTCAAAAAATAAATAAAAATTTTAAAAATCGCTCTTGGCTGAACAGAGGCTCCCTCTCACGGGAGGTTATTCTCACCTCTTCCCATGGTAGCTAGTTGCCCCCTTACTCCAAGGTGGAGCCAAGTCTGCAGCATAGTTCATGTGCCTCATCTCCACATGGGATGGAGCTGAAGCTGACTCCAGCCAGAACCACATCCTTGCTTATCCTTCTTCCCCTGCCCTGCCTGCTTCCCTCACTCCCTTTCTCCTGGGAGCACTCTCCCAACAAATCACTTCTAGAAGAATGCCCATTTCAGGCTCTGCTTCTAGAGAACCTTACCTAAGGCAAGTATGTTACACGTCAACAGTCAATACACTTACTCAAACAGCGAAGGCAGCCTCAGGCTGTATCTAAGTGTCCCAGTAAGACACTGACAGTCCCATGATATGATGGCCTGACTGTCAGATATCTGCAGGTTGATTCCACTTTGGGTCATATATTTCCAACACAATGAAGGACCAGAAAGACAGTGACAAAGTCTGGTGACTGTATAACAAGAAGAATGGCTGGGAGAATCAGAGACGTTTAAATTGGAAGGGGGGAACCTTGAGGAAGACAAGAATAGTGGCCTTAGATGTCAGAAGATCTGCCGTGAAAGACAGGCACTTTCCGTGTGACTCCAGAGGCCGATGCTGGGATCAGAGAGTGGAGCTGGACAGGGCAACGGATTTCATTTGAGTGTTAAGATTGAACCTATTCTCCTTGTGAACTGTAAAGAGCTGGCTTCCTGGGAGAGAATGAGCTGTAAGCTCCCCATCTCTGCAGGAGTGGGAACAGGGGCAGTATTACTGCTGAGTCTCTTGCTCTTAGAAGTATTAGACATGGAAGAGGCCCTAGTGCGGAGCTTGCTACCAGCACTCACCTGTAAGATGTCTCTGTTGTGAGATGCTCCTCCAGTAGCCAAAATCTTTGTCTTGGGCACTGTAAGGAAAAACAAAAAACAAAACAAAAAAATGGCTGTGACAATTCCCCCAAGGCAGAAAAGGCTGTTTTTCAGAGTTCTACTGCCACAAAAGGCAAGCATCAGGTCAACGCCTCTTGCTTGTCACACAGGGCTTGGGGGGAGATCTGAAGCTGGCTCTGTCCATGTGGACTTGTCATATAAAATCTGCTTGTGAGGCCACTGCCTCACCCACCTCTTGGGAGAAGAGGATACACAGGATGGTTCTAAGGTTCTGGCCATGTTGCATTTCTTTTTTTTTTTAATGTCATTTGTTTCAGAGTAATACAAGGACAGAGGTTTTGTTTTTTTTTTACCATTTCAAAATTATTTATTTATTTACATTTGGCTGTGCCAGGTCTTTGCTGCTGCACGGGTTTCTCTCTAGTTGTGGGGCGAGGGCTTCTCACTGCGGTGGTTTCACCTGCCGTGCAGCGTGGGCTGTAGGGCATGCAGGCTCCAGTGAGTGCGGTGCACGGGCTTGTAGTCAACCCGGAATTGAACCCATGTCTTCTGCATTGCCAGGTGGATCATTCACCGCTGAGCCACCAGGGAAGCCCCAGTGTTGTATTTCTTAAACAGAGTGCTCAATGAACCGGTGTTTGATTTTTTAATCTGTCTTTGCAGTTAGCTCTATGAAGCATATATTCCGCTGCATGCAAGATATTTTCCACAATAAAAAATAATAAACTGCCATCTAGTAAAAGACATATAGTTCCACTTCAGGTTAAAATGGAGATGGTCAAGACAGAACATCCCTTGTACTGTAACAATGAGAGACTGCTGAACCAAAAAAAAAAAAAAAAAAGATATATATATATATATATTTAATGCTAACAAAAAGTGGTAAACGCAGGGAATTCTCCAGTGGACCAGTGGTCAGGACTTGGCACTTTCACTGGTAAGGACCTGGGTTCAACCCCTGGTCGGTAACTAAGATCCCACAAGCCATGCGGCATGCCTCCCTCCCCCATAAAAAAGTTGTAAATGGAAAGAAATGTAAATAAATTAAATTCTGGAATGAGATGAGCCCTTAAATGCTGACTTTGCCATACCTGTAGTACAAGATAGGTGGTGTAGTGACCCTTGAGGCATCTAAACTGCCAGAAGAGATAACCCGCCAATCAATAGGTGGTGTTGGTCTGAAAAAGGTGTCCCAAAGGCAGAGCTAGTCCTCCTCATCCCCTCCAGGGGCCGTCTAAGTGGTGATGTGGAAGCCAGGGGCAGGGCGGGAAAACAGAGAGAGAGCTCTGTAATCTTATAGTGCTTATATCCCTAATCTCCTGTGTCACAGGACTCTTTTACCATAAAAAGGCATGTATTTATTATGCAGGTATTTGAAAACAAATGTTATAAGCCCCTCTCAGCCTCCCCCATCTTCACCCTCCGGCCATGAAGAGAGTGCCTGGGCTGGGAAGAGGGGAAGGGATGACAGCCAGCTACGGAAACAATTCAGGATGCATGTTCCTTTGTGATTCCATGTTGGAAAAGCAAAACATACTCCATTCACGACTGCAAGAGGAGTCAGCTGGGTGTGATGTAAAGCACCACGAAGGCTTAATAGAGTTTGGGTTTGTATGTACCCTTCGTAGGTAAAACGGGAACAGGACTCCGGCTTTATAAAAATAAGCTCATAAAGGGGACTGAAAGTGCTCCCAGACTGCATGACTGGTTAGGGAGAAGACATGGGATTATAGGTACTTTCCTCTCCTTTATTTTCAAAACTTGCTATTATAAGGCTGCTTTTAAAAAAAAAGTTTTTGGCTGCACCGCACGAGATGTGGGGTCTTAGCTCCCCAACCAAGTTTCAAACTCATGCCCCCTACCCTGGAAGCACAGTCTGAACCACTGGACCGCCAGGGAAGTCCCTATAAGACTTCGTAGCTCTTATAAGTCAACCTAAACCAAATGAAATATACGTGGGAGCGTAAGCTGAAAAGGAACCATGGCATTAGCCCCGCCTAGCCGGTGCCTTGGTCTCCTGGTGTCTAAGTATCAAGACAGGGATCATTCCTTAAAGAGAGCAGATGTAACCCAGTGGTTAAGAATCTAGAGTCTAGAACCAGACTGGCTTGGTTCAGAAGGCTCTGCCAGCCCGGAACAAGTGACACAACACCTTGAGTCTTGGTTTCCCACTTTGTGAAGGAGGAGTGATACCCACCCCAGAGATACTGCTGTTAGTAAAGATAAAGTGCTTAGGAACCAGGCTGGGCACACAATGGACACTCGGTAAGTACTGAACCTGCTATCATCTTGATCACCAGTCTTACTTCAGACGTCTTTCTATTCTTTTTAGATGTTATTAAAACGAGATTATGACTGTTCAATAAAGAAATGAGGGGGACCTCCCTGGTGGTCCAGTGGTTAGGACCCAGCACTTTCACTGCCAGGACCTGGGTTCAATTCCTGGTCCGGGAACTAAGATCCTGCAAGCTGCTCAACCGGGAACATGATGCCTGCAGTCCGTGCAGCCCTTGTGCCCTTTTAGGTTCCAGCGTGTTCATTCATGTGATCTTGTTTTGAGAGGAACTCAGCAGAGCTGGAAAGACAGGTTTGATTCACCCCCTTAAGCTTGTTAAGAGGATAAGTAACTTTACGCTATTTGCACAGGAATCGCTTCAGAGGCTGGGAATGCTAACATGATCACACTAGTCCCCTGGAGCCCAGGAAGGCCTCTCCGCCCTCACTGCCTCTCCCTGCATACGGGGCCAGTGGGGACAGCCCCCAAAATGCCCGCTGCTGATGACCGGAGAACCCTTCCGGCCAGTCACTCATGTCCACCGCAGCACCGGCCCTGTCCTGCTCACCAGCGCTCACTTTTCAGGGAGCTTAGAGGCCTGTGAAGACCCTTGGGTAATTTCTTTTTACACTTTTGGTGGAAGAATGGAGAGGAGTGGAACTGTTTATAAAAGTTCAGTTCAGTTCAGTCGCTTAGTTGTGTCCAACTCTTTGAGACCCCATGGACTGCAGCATACCAGGCCTCCCTGTCCATCGCCGACTCCTGGAGTTTGCTCAAACTCACGTCCATTGAGTCATTGATGCCATCCAACCATCTCATCCTCTGTCGTCCCCTTCTCCTCCTGCCCTCAATCTTTCCCAGCATCATGGTCTTTTCAAATGAGTCAGTTCTTCGCATCAGGTGGCCAAAGTATTGGAGTTTCAGCTTCAGCATCAGTCCTTCCGGTGACTATTCAGGACTGATTTCCTTTAGGATGGACTGGTTGGATCTCCTTGCTGTCCAAGGGACTCTCGAGAGTCTTCTCCAACACCACAGTTCAAAAGCATCAATTCTTTGATGCTCAGCTTTCTTTATAGTCCAACTCTCACATCCATACATGACTACTGGAAAAACCAGTAGCTTTGACTAGTTGGAGCTTTGTTGGCAAAGGAATGTCTCTACTTTTTAATATGCTGTCTAGGTTTGTCATAACTTTTCTTCCAAGGAGCAAGCGTCTTTTAATTTCAAGGCTGCAGTCACCATCTGCAGTGACTTTGGAGCCCAAGAAAATAAAGTCTGTCACTGTTTCCACTGTTTCCCCATCTATTTGCCATAAATTGGGGTTTATAAAAGTAAGTTCATCCTATTTAAAAATGCTGTTGAGGGACTTCCCTAGTGGTCCCATGGCTAAGACTCCACGCTTCCAATGCAGGGCGCTCAGGTTCCTTCCCTGGTCAGGGAACTAGGATCCCACATGCTGAAACGAAGATCGTGCATGCTGCAACTAAGACCTGGTGCAGCCAAATTAAAAAAAAAAATATATATATATATTTTTTTTTTTTCTTTTTAAAATAGGTTTGCTGTACTGGGTCTTCATTGCTGTGCAAAGGCTTTCTCTAGTTATGAGCAGGGGCTACTCCAGTTGCAGTGCTCAGGCTTGTTGCAATGGCTTCTCTTGTTGCAGAGCATGGGTTCTAGGCACGTGGATTCCAGAACTTAGGCTCAGTAGTTGTGGCACATGGGCTTGGTTGCCCCTTGGCATGTGGGATCTTCCCAGACCAGGAATCGAACCAGCATACCCTTCATTGCAAGGCCAGTTCTCAACCACTGGACACCAGGGAAGCCCTAAAAACAATATTTAAAAATTAAAAAAATATGTTGCTGAACTGTATACATCCTAACAAATGCACAGATGCACCATGAGCTGACAGCCTGACATGTTTTCGACGGAAGACACCTGTATAACCTATGAAACAGAGCCTCACCAGCACCCCAGAGGCACCACGGCCCCCCGAAAGGTAACTACCAATCAACCAGGCTTCCAACGACAGCAGATACTTTTGTCTGCTTTTGAACCTGCTGTACGCGGAATCCATCACACATACTTTGGGGCTGGTTTCTCCTTCTCGGCGTTTTCATTTGTGAGACGCGTCCATTTTGCTGGGCTTGGTTGAAGCTGATTTACCCTCATTTCTGCATAGGATGATGTCATCTGAACACCCCACAAGGCGCTGATCCCACCATCGACAGACCCTGGGTTGTTTCCAGCACAGGGTGTCGCGCACAGGGCCACGGGGAGTGGCCTCCCGCACGGCTCTAGTGGACACGTGTCCGCATCTCTGTCTTGCATCCACCGGGAAGTGAGGTTGCCAGGTGGGTGTGTACGCAGCTTTAGCAGATGCTGCCTAGCAGGTTTTTAAAAAGCTTTACCTAGCGCCTACTTTTAAAGTGTCCTTTTCACCTGACAGGTTCAAAGACAAAATACACACCACATAGGACTTGGATTGTCGGTAGAAATATCATGAGGAGACTCTCAAGCTGAGAGGGTTCCAGGGATTTCGACCTTCTCTTGACCACAGCTGCTGCCCAGAGGGATAAATACACCTCAGAAACCTGGACTCTGTGGTCGGCTGGTCCAACATCCTTCAGACTCCCCCAGACCACGCCAGCAACATCAGTAGGGGGAACTCACTGACCTCCTAAAGCTGCCCACTCCATCGCTCAGTTCCTGGAGTCCCTTCCTCCCCATGGGTCTCCCCCAGCCCTGGCTCTGTCCTCTCCACCGCAGGTCTCTCATTTCTGACAGCGGTTCTACATCCCTTCTCTTCCCTGTTCAAGCTGAAATGCTCAGAGCTGTGCCCCACAGGCAGACAGGGCGTGCCCAGAAGGTGGAGGTTCAGTGATGGCCCCAGCCCAGACCATTACCACCTGCACTGCCTGCATCCTCAGGATCCCGAGCTTAGGACATTTCGTCTGCAGGATGGAGCTGAGGGTTACAGAAAGATCTCTCAAGTCCTACAGTTCTGGAGCCTTAGGAGATGAGGCTACTGGTGACAGAGCAGAGAGGCAGGAACAACCCACCTCCTAGTCTAAGCCTGCCCCCAGGGCCCGTCCACCTCATCCCACCACCAGGTCCAGGCCCTATTTCCCTCCTGCAAAAACAAGGCCCCCGTGATGGAGCCTTCAGTGTCCACGAGGTCTGGTCTGAAGGCAGAAAGGGCCTCAAGCACCTTGGTGTGTGAGCAGGATCCCTGGACCCCGCTCCAGAACACAGCCCAGCAGCAGCTCACTTACTGACTCGATAGCCCAGCGCCTCAGCATGAATCTTCTTGGCCATGAGCTGTCCCTCGATCAGTGCTCGAACCTCCACATCCCGGGGGAATGCCGGGACCTGTCTCCAGGAGAAAGTGGACAGAGTGAAGAGCTCTCATTGTCCACTCACTCTGCATATGTGTCTGTGTGTGTGTGTGCAGTATGCATGTGTCTGTGTGTGTGTGTGTGTGGTATGTATCTGTGTGTGTGTGTGTGGTATGTATCTGTGTGTGTGTGTGTGCAGTATGCATGTGTGTGTGTGTGTGTGTGTGTGTGGTATGTATCTGTGTGTGTGTGTGTGTGGTATGTATCTGTGTGTGTGTGTGCAGTATGCATGTGTCTGTGTGTGTGTGTGTGTGTGGTATGTATCTGTGTGTGTGTGTGTGTGGTATGTATCTCTGTGTGTGTGTGTAGTATGTATGTGTCTGTGTGTATGTGTGTGTGTGTGGTATGTATCTGTGTGTGTGTGTGCAGTATGCATGTGTCTGTGTGTATGTGTGTGTGTGTGGTATGTATCTGTGTGTGTGTGTGTGGTGTTTTTTTAAACAACAGCCCAGATCTGGCGCTCATGAGAGGCCTCCACCGGAGCTCACCCATAGTGGTGCTCTTGAACCACTGACTTTGCCTGTCTCTCACACACACACACACACACACACACACACACACACACACACACGCTCACGGCCTCACTCATGTGTCACCGTGGAGAGCTCAGGCTCAGTCTGTATGGGATTAATCTCCAGCTTATGGGATTAGCAGATACAAACTACTGTACATAAAATAGATAAGTAACAAGGATTTATTGTAGAGCACAGGGAATCATATTCAATATCACGTAAGAACCTATAAAATATATACAGGTTACATATTTTTTCAGAATATAATTTGAAGAAAAACTGAATCGCTGTGCTGCACATCTGAAACTCACACAATATTACAAATCAACTATACCTCAAATCAAAAATTTTTTTTCAAGTGTTTGTTTTATCACTGGCTGAGTAAATGAATGAGGTCCCTAAAGCTAGCATAATTTCATAGGTATTTTTTAAAATTTAATAGTCATAAATGGAGCCAATGTAGCTCCAGCTGACCGATAGCATACATACCTCATGGTTTTCTGCACTAAACCTATGGCGTCCGATAATTTCTGGGGTGATTTCCATGACATCAAAATAAAAACCTGAAACAAGACCAGGATAAGATTAGCTATCAGTGGTCAAAAATAAAAGATCAGCTTCTCAACAGCGTTGGGAAAAAAGCAGGGTGAAATGACCCTATGTCCCTGTTCCCTGGGCCTCCCATTCCCTGGAGGAGACCCGTGAATATTCTAAGGTCCTTCTCTCCAGCAAAACAGAGGGCAACTGGAAAGGCCTAGGCTAGCTCTTCATGGAGACACTTCTTCCTACACTCATCTGGCAGCCCAAGCCAGGAGGCAGCTAGCTGTCCAACTAACCCTAAAATGCCAGCACGGGTTTGACCCAGGGAGGCCCATTCCCTCCCTGCTCAGATGGCCTGCCCCAACGCGGGGCACTTTTCCTAACAGAACCTCGTGTCTGGAGCGGAAAGCTGCATGCGGGGATGCAGCGGGGCAGAGCAGACACGATGGCTGCCACCTCTGATGCTGTCGCTGGGAACTTCCAGGGCACAGAAGATGCAGCTCCGGCCTGGTCTGCCGCTCCCCCCTCACGCAGATCGGGGGGCTCCCACAGGAGTTTTAGGGCCCATGGAGCAGAAGTGGAGACAGCCAGGGGGCCCCTTGGCTCCTCCCCGGCCCTGCCCCTTCCCGGGCAACTGTTGCCCTCACAGGCCCCCTCAGCAGCCTACCCAGGTTTCCGCCGTTCCCCATCGCCGTGGACCGCAGCGCCTTGGAGAACTCGCCCCAGGAACCTGAAGTAGACTCATCCCGGATCTTCTCTCTCATCAGGGAGCCGTTTTTAAAGCTGCAGAAGTACACACACAACCCTGAGGGAGGGCTAGGCGCGTTCTGAGTGGACCCACAGACTCTGGGGAAGAGTCCCAGGTAGAGGGGCCGCAGGTCAGGCTGGACCCCACCCCAGCCAGTGCCCAGCAGGGATCTGAGGTTCCGCCTCCTGTAGCAAGCCCAGGGCACCTCCCCAGGAGTCACCAGAAAATGCACTTTTCCTGGGGGCTCTGTTTACAGAGGAGGTTACCAGGAAAGAGTCCCAAGGAGAGATAGAGCTGTGGTTTCAGCACATTGTAATCTCTGGACAATGGGCAGAACTGGCCAGATTTACTAGACCTACATATTCTCCAGGGGTTCCTGGAGGTTAAAGGCTAAAAACCTTCCCTTGGTAGCTTCCAGCAGATTGCCAAACGCCTGTTTGGAAGGTGCAGAACAGACCCGTTTCATGAGAACTGTCAGGAGGCAGGATGTCCTTACTACCATTGGTTGAAGGTCCACCATGTGCCAGATACATCGTAACATCACTATGAAGTAAACCTCTTGTTCCTCCCATTTTATGGGCAAAGTGTGGCTAAGATATGCTCTGGGGTCTGCCTCAGGCCACACACAATACAGGTGTTGGGGATGGAGTTTGTACCTGGGCTTGGGAGAGACTTCAGGTCCTGGGTGCTTCCCCCCACCCCAGCCCCACACCAATTCTGCTCTCACCAAGAACCAATGAGTCCCTAGGGTCTCAGGTGCCCCTAGAGCCTGCTCAGTGGAATGCCCCGGGGGGCTCCATATGGTGCCAACCCTGCCCACACCTCCTTCCCCACACCCAGCCTACCACAGGAGCGCCATGTAGTGCTGGGGGTCAACCGGGTTGCAGAAGATGTGGCCTTCCAGGGCGGGCGTGGGATCCTGGAGCCAGAGGAACAGCGTGTCGCTGGTGCCCAGGCTGACCTGGAGAGAGACAGGCAGAAATGAGGCGGCTCTGTCTCTGCCACTCCAGCAGAGATGCCCTGACCCCCTCCTCGCTTCACTGTCCAGGCTGCAGAACCTTGGATTAAACACCATTTCTTCAGAGAAACCTCTGCTGACCCTCCCATACCAAAATCCAAAGTCAGCTCCCCGAATTCGAGCTAGCACGAATTCAGCAGGCTGTTTTTCTAGAACTTACTACAACAATCTCTAAGTCATGGATCGGGTGACGACTTGTTTCCCACTAGAAGCAGAAGGGTCTGGGTTATGTCTTTATCGCCTGGAGGGCTCACAGTCCTCTGGCCCGAGGTCTGAGCCTTCTGCCACAGTGCTCACTGTTAAGGCAGGCAGGGGACCTGTCTACTCAGCACAGGCAACTGACCTTCTAAGAGAGGAGCTGTGGGCAGGTCCTGGGGCCTGGGTCTCCCTCTCCCCTCCCTCGGCTGCCTTCTGACCCTGGATGCCCCACTGAGAGGATGCTGCTGACACCCAGTACCCTCATCCCCTGGGGCAGAAGGAGCTGACCCTGACTCTGGGAGGCAGAGGTCACCTTACCGCAATGTCACCTTCCTCCAGCCTCATGCCTGCCAGCGATGCTGAGAACGGGAGGGGAGCCTGTGGTTAGCTGGAGGTTGCAAGGGAGCCACTTAGCAAACCAGTCACTTCCCTCAGATAGAAGTGAAGCCCCCACCTCCAACCCCAGCCTACAAGCTGAGAGAGAGGCAGGAACAGGGTGAGATGAGGGCCAAGGACGCCCCAAAGGCCAGGAGGTGAGAGTTGGACCATATAGAAGGCTGAGCACCGAAGAACTGATGCTTTTGCACTGTAGTGTTGAAGAAGATTCTTGAGAGTCCCTTAGAGAGCAAGGAGATCAAACCAGTCAATTCTAAAAGAAATCAACCCTGAATATTCATTAGAAGGGCTGATGCTGAAGATGAAGCTCCAATACTTAGGTCACCTGATGCAAAGAACTGACTCACTGAAAAAGACCCTGATGCTGGGAAAGACTGAAGGCAGAAGGAGAAAAGGGCGATAGAGAATGAGATAGTTGGATGGCATCACTGATTCAACAGACATGAACATGGGCAAACTCCGGGAGATAGGGAGGGACGGGGAGGCCTGGTGTGCCGCAGTCCATGGGCTCACAAAAAGTCAGACTGAGGGACTGAAGACAACAATAAAGGCCAGAGGGTGGGGTTTCTGTGCTCCAGGTCTCTGATTTGGGCTCAGAAGCTGCATCTAGTGGGATCCACACTCCCCACCCACTGTTAGGATACACGAGGCCGAGAAAGACAAAGGCCAGAGTATGGGGCTTTCCCCCCCTCAGTTGGGAAGGAAAGGGCAAGATTATGTTGACTGTTCCCTTTGACATGAGGGCCATGACAGCTTGTTTATCTGTCTTGCTCACTGATACACCAGCGTGTCAGAGCTCTGGACCCAGGAATCCCACCTCGAAGAGCTTATCCTGCAGGCACAAGGGACAAGACAATGTCTGCACTGTCTAAATGCTAGAAGCCACTCCTATCTCACCTCCCACTTCCATCCGAGGGAGACTGGCAAAGTAAATGCCAGAACAGTGGAACCCGAGACAACCACGAATGAAGTTCACAAAAATCCTGCCTTGGTTGATTAAAATGTGTATTTATGGGCACAGAAAAAGAAAGTTAGAAGGACTAGTCCTCAAAATTTTAACTGTGGTTATCTCTGGATTAAGGGATCATGGATGATTTTTTACATTCTTCCTTTGGTCTGTCAGTACTTAAAATTTGTTTCTGCAACTAAGAGGTATCCCTTGTATATAAGAAAAAAGGGTAAGACTAACACATTATTTAAGGCGGCAGGAAAGTGAAGGTCAGACTTAGGGAGGGACTGGCTGAGGGCTACCTGCCTGGTACTTCCAACATTCAGCCTAAAAGCAAAGCCCCAAAGGATGGTTTAAAAAGCTGCTGCTTTGTCATTCCCTCTCAAACATGCCCAGAAGCTCAAGCTTCAGTGGTAAAAAAGCAGGCCCATTATTTTCCCTGACATTCTTCTAGTTGATAGAGTAGGCATAAGAATATACATTTTTCTAGAAAGACTCACGGTTACCAAACGGGAAAGGGGAGAGGGGATAAATTAGGAGGTTGGAATTAACATACACACATCAATATACATAAAATAGACAACCAACAAGGAAGCACAGGGAACTCTACTTAACACCCTGTAATAACCTATATGGGAAAAGACTATGAAAAAGATATATGTCTATGTATAACTAATTCACTTTGCTGGACATCTGAAAGTAACACACATTGTAAATAAACTATATCCCAATATGAAAATATATATAGATATATTTTCTTCTAATGAGACTTGATGGAGTCATTTTCATTTTTAAAATAAAACAAACCTGGACCACAAAGTGTAGGACTGCCCTTTTCTGAGGGAGCCTGGGCCCCTCAACTTTTAGGGTAGATAGGAGCTGGGGGCCTGGCATCCCCCGGGAAGCCTGGGCACCAGAACATGCCCATCGCAGCCCAGAGCTGCCTCTCAAATCAGGTGCCAGGAGGATGGGCTTCACACCTACCTCGGTGCTGCAGGAACTGGGCCAATGTCCACCAGCCTCCATCTCACCTCATCTTAGGCCCCTAAGGAACACGGGGGGCCCCTCCCCAAAACCTGCTCTGTGTCTGGGTTTGTGCCTTGACAACAGGGCTCCGTGCAAAGGGCTACGGAATCTGCTCAGGGACCGAGTGGCCCTCGGCTGGCTCCTGGGGGCTCCCTGCAGATGCCAGTGGTGGTCACCCTATGAGCGGGGGGACACAGCCAGGACACTGATGCAACCTCACGGTAGCAGGGATATGCTCACGTGCCCCCAGCTCCAAAGCAGACGGGCCTAAAGCAGACCTCGGAGCACGAGTGTTATTTATATTGGGGACAGAAACAGTAGTAATGGCAACTTCACTGTTTTTTTCTCCTGGTCACAAAAGTACACATAGATACTGCAGGAAATACAGAATTTAATATCATCATTATGATGAAGGGCTTCCCAGGTGGCGCTAGCAGTAAAGAATCCACCTGCCAATGCAGGAGACGTGAGACACGGGTTCAGCCCCTGTATTGGGAAGATCCCCTGTAAGAGGAAATTGCAACCCACTCCAGTATTCATGCCTGGAGAATTCCATGGACAGAAGAGCCTGGTGGGCTACAGTCCAGAGCGTCACAAAGAGTCAGAGACAACTGAAGCGATTTAACATACAACACATTGTGACGATGAGTACATTTTAACAAGACCTTCAGCTCCATTCTTAGGGACACAGCACCAGTCCTAAGCACAAGTGCCTCTTTTTATTTTATTTTTGCCATCCACATCCTCATCTGCATAACCAGTAGGAGGTAAGTGCAGGGAGGCTGTGGGTGTGAAAGCGAGGGGACAGGCTGAAGCCAGACCCCAGCCTCCACCCACAAAGCAGCCCAAATCCTTTCATATGCACCTCAGGCGCGCTTTCTTAGAGCAGGAATGGCTGCATAGGGTGGCGATTTGGCATAGAGTTGCCAGATAAAATACAGGGCACTCAGTCACATTTCAATTTCAGAGAAATAATACTTGGGACACACACTGAGAAAGCATTTGTTTTCTGAAGTTCAAATAATGCCTGGGACACACTTATCCTACCTCATCATTTGACCTTCCTCTGAATTCACGTTGGTATTGTATTTGCATTTATTCTATTTGTGTTTACTCTATCCATCAACCCTGATTTGGTGGCTCATTAGGAAAAGGGCTGCAGGGGTGTGGTGAGGGGCTGCAGTCTGTGGCCACTTGGCCTTCCTTGAGAGACCTGTCGGGAAACCCCAGAGAAGAGAAGGAGAAGAGGAGACAAGAGGCTTCGATGAGGAGTAAGCCGTACCTACATCACCAACTCAACGGACATGAGTTTGAGCAAGCTCTGGGAGATGGTGAAGGACAGGGAAGCCTGGTGTGCTGCAGAGCATGGCATCACAGAGTCAGACATGAATGAGCGACTAAGCAACAATAGGTCAAAAAAGGGGTCCGAGTCTTAACGCTAGGTACTGGAGGAAGAGGTGGAGGAATTGAGATGCTTACTCTGGAACAGAAAAGGCAGGTAAGGGAGGGTGGGCTTGACTGTCTTCCTCCACTGATCAGTTCTCACCTCGCTGGGCAGCCCTGGGTGGGTCTTGTGGGTACAGCCAGGGCTAAGGTGGGGCAGGTACAAGGAGTCTGAATTCAGGCCAGCAAGGGGGTAGGTGGCCACGGAGGAAGGGCCTGCCAGACAGGCTTCCCCAGGAGGTTGGCTGGCATTCACCAGTGTCCAGCAAGGACCAAGGCAGCCTTCTGGGGGGGGTGAAGTCCCAAGAGGTACTCACCTGGGTTGTCCCCAGTGAAGGCCACCACTTTGCATCCTGGAGGAAACCCATAGCGCTGGACAAAGTAGGAAGAGATGGCCCCCTGAGGAGAGAAAGCAAGTGCGTTCTGTAGAAGCAAATCCCACCTGCACAGCTGCCCACCCTTCAGGCCACGGGAAAGCAACAGGCCTGGGCGAGGCCAAGAGGCTCATCACAGCCGGGACGTCCTGTTCACAGAACACCAGCGGAGCCCAGCGCGGGGCTGGGACCATGAACATGAAGTTGTCCCACTGCCTCAAGGCACGCTTGCTTGATTTTGAGTCAAGGCAGCTAGAACAAAACAGTCGCCAACGTGGGCTTGCTTTGTAAGCTCCAAATTCTGGCTGTTGCATTAAAAATGAATAAATGAGAGGAGAAAATCATTAAACAAACTCGTGGAAGTAGATAATGCCTTACACACATGCTCCACCAGCCCAGCAATCAGATCATGAGCAATCAGACATGCATGCATGGAGGCCAATGTTCTAAAGAAAATAAACCAATGAAAGAAGGTGTCGGGGAGCAGTCTCCACCAGGAACCCAAGCTCTCAGGGCCCCTTCAAGACTTGATCAGAGGGCAGGGATACCTTCTAGACAGACCTACAGTCTTTAGAAAGCATAGTTATGAAAAGAAAGCTCCCCCTCCCCCTGCCACCTTCAGCTTTCCCTGTCTTTCTCTTAGTTCCAAAAATTTTAAATAAATGATGCGATTTCTGGGACTTCCTTAGTGGTCCGGTGGTTAAGACTCTACCCTTCCACTGCAGAGGGTGTGAGTTCGATCTCCGGTTGAGGAACTAAGGTTCCACATGCCCAGTGGCACAGCCAAAAAATTTTTTTAAAAAGGAATTTCCCAGTGTCTGGGAAGACCATTTTGCTCCATCCAACAAAATTTCGGATTTCCATGAGAATAAAGCCTGGGAGATAAATGTCTTGGCCTGAGTTGCCTCACAGAACAGAGTCTGAGTCAGGGCTTGTGCAGGTGGCTTATTTGGGGAAGTGACCCCAGGAAATGAGGGTGGGGGTTAAAAGAATGAAACGGAAGGGGTGAAAGCCCACCCAAGGGTACTCTGGGGAGCCGGAGCTGGCTGTGGGCAGCATTTGAGGCAGGCTGTCCTCTTGGGGGTGGGACAGGGAGCAGTTCGCCACAGCTCCTCGCAGGAGAAAGGTGTGTGTGGGGGGTTAACTCCCCGATCCTCCAGGCTGGCAGAGCACAGATGCACAGTTCCAGAAGCCCCCAGGGCAGAAGAGGGAAAGGAGCTCCAGCTCAGGCAGGCAGCTGCCAAGGGACACGCGAGGCCATGACTGCTGGCAGAAAAGGGGGGCTGGGAGGTTGCGAGGCAGAGGCATCGCTACATGACATCTCCACAAATTTTCCTGCAGACAAGGAGAGGAAGCCATCTGGGCACCACCTTCAGAAAAAGAGATGACAGAAAACATGAGTTTTGCTTGTTTCCCCCCATCACGTGGGTACATATGCTTCAAACGAAAACACACTTTTCCAAATCAGTTCTTTTCTGCTCCTCAAGCTGCTCGTGTCTGCGCGAGGCCCCTCTCGGAGGCATGTGTTCTTGGTGGAAGGCAAACAAAACTGGCTGCTGTGGACAAAACACCGCTCTCCATCGACTGGAAACAAAGAGCCGTGTGCAATACCAGCCCCAGAGGCTGGGCTGTTTTCTCTTCGCCCTTCCTTCTTTCCTTCCTGCTTCTATGGGGCAGGACACCCTTAGCTCTGCGCGCTGGCTTCACAGCACCCTCTGCGAGACACGTGTGTGCTCGGTCACGTCTTGACTCTTTATGATCCCATGGTCATTCTATCCCAAGCAAGAATACTGGAGGGGGTTGCCATTTCCTCCTCCAGGGGATCATCTTGACCCAGGGATCAAACCCATGTCTCCTGCATCGGCGGGTTCTCTACCACTGAGCCACCTGGAAGCCCACCCTCGGGATGATGACGACGATCTGGCTTTGACATTTCGCTCATGGTGGCAAAGGCTGTTTTCAGCTACTCACTGTTGACAGAAAAGTGTTTCTGTGGCTGGAACTGCCAACAGGAGGCACTCGTGGTAGCCTGGTTCTCCTCGTGCCCTGGTCTCCCTCACAGCTAACGCTCTGCCCCACCCAGCGCTCCCACTTGTTCTGGGGTGGGGCAGGTGCTTCCCACCAAATGGCCGAGTGCAGGGCGCAGCCAAGAACTCAGCTGGCCAGCTAGGAGAAACCAGAGCATGGACAGCCAGTGGCTATTCTGAACATGGGTGCCAATGGTCAAAGTTCTTTCACTCAATTGTTCCCTTTATCAGCTATGTATGCTTAGTTGCTCAGTCACGTCCGACTCTTTGAGACCCTGTGGACTGTAGCCTGCCAGGCTCCTCTGTCCATGGGATTCTCCAGGCAAGGATACCGGAGTGGGTTGCCATGCCCTCCTCCTGGGGATTTTCCCCACCCAGGGACTGACCCAGCTCTCCCACACTGCAGGTGGATTCTGTATCATCTGAGCCACCAGGGAAGCAGATATAGATTTTGCAAATATTTTCTCCCAGTTGGTGGGTTGCCTTTTCACTTTGTTAATGGTTTCCTTTGCTGTGCACAAGCTTTTTATTTTGTGGTAGTTATACTTGTTGAGTTCGCTTTAGTTGCCTCTGCTTTTAGGTTTTTTTTTTCTTAATATTTATCAGTCTATGCCAAGTGTTAGTTGTAGCACGCTGGATCTTCAATCTTCGTTTTGGTGGCATGCAAACTCTTAGCTGTGGCAGGTGGGATGTGGTTCCCTGACCAGGTTTGAAGCTGGGCCCCCTTCATTGGGAATGTGCCATCTTAGCCACGGGACCACCATGGGAAGTCCCCTGCTTTTAGTTTCAAAGGCAAAAAAAATCTTTGCCAAGATGAGTAGCAAGGAGCTAAACACTGGTTTTCTTCCCAGAGTTTTATGGTTTCAAATTTTAGATTCAAGCCTTTAATCCATTATGGGTTAATTTCTGTATCTGGAGTAAGACAGTGGTCTGGTCTCATTCTTCTGCATGTGGCTGTCCCAAGTGCTCTTCCTATTAGCCCTGGGACCAAGCACCATCTTAAGTACATTAAATGTATCACCTCATTCACTCTGCACAACAGCCTGACAGATAGAAAGTAGCAGTATTCCTGTTGTTCCAGAAACAGTGGAAGGGACTAGGAAACTGAGGCACAAGGTCACAAAGGTGGTTAGCAGCAGAGCCCAATTCCACCCCAGACAGTGTGGCTCCGGGGCCCGTGCTCTCCCCAGATCATTGGCACTTTTTATTTTCTCCAGACTGCCTGCCCCAAGCTTCAGTAGTGGTCCCTATCCCTTAAATTTCCATCTTGTGCATTTTTTCCTAAGGAGTGCAATCACCCAGAACATATGCCTTCAATCCTTATCCCATTCTAATTATTCTCCAGGGTGCAACTTTTTCCAAAGTCCACTCCCCAACCCCCTCACCCCCTCACCCCTGCCACGAGGCAGGAATCTGCAACTGGGCCTCAGCACCTGAGTGCAAGGCAGGGATCCAGACATCTTTCTCTGACTCATGTCAACTACTTATCTTGTACTAGACAAAGTCCCATGTGTGCGTGCCCTTGTGTAAATGGATGGATGTGTGTGGGGGGGGGTGGTGGGTGCGTGTGTGTACTATACCACTTCCCCAGCAGCAAACCAGCTCCCTGGTGAGCCTCACCGCCGGGCAGGGGACCTACCACAACGGAGCAGGATGGCACCGGCCGGCCAAGCTTCTCCTCTAAGCGAGGTGCACAGGCTCCAAGGCAAGCCTGTGACCAGACTTTGTCATGAATCTGCAGCAAATTCATTCCAGAACCTAAGGAAGGAAGGATACAAGAAGGAAAACAAAGAAATTTTTTTTAATGTGTCCTTTCTTCATTTTTTTTCCCAATTTCTGGGCCACACCTTGTGGCATGAGGGGCCTTAGTTCTTCAGCTAAGGAGCAAACCCGCGCTCCCTCTATTGGCAGTGTGGAGTCTTAACCACTGGACTGCCAGGGAAGTTCCAAGAGAAATCTTTAAAAAAACTTTTGTAAAAATGCACAAATCTAGCCAAGAGTGGATCATTCTCACGGCAAACCTGTACCTGGAGCTCTTCCCTGATGGAATGTATACAATGGCTCTGGGTCACTCTGCAGGGGGCCTCTGGTTCTCTAAGACCTGGCCAGGGGAGGGCAGCTCCCAGCAGCAGCATCTAGGATGGCTCTGAGTATCCCCTGGGGTTCAAGGCTCTGAGGCAGCCCTGGCACTGATGTGGGATTTCTCAATCGCATCTAACCTTTTGGAGGATGCTCTCATGTACCTCTAAAGTTCCTCATATTCATCACTAAAATCAGCTATGTGTGTGTGAAAGTCACTCTGTTGTATCTGACTCTTTGAGATCCCAGGGACTGTAGCCTGCCAGGCTCCTGTGTCCATAGAATTCTCCAGGCAAGAAGACTGGAGTGGGGAGCCATACCATTCTCCAGGGGAACTTCCTGACCCAGGGATCAAACCCAGGTCGGTCTCCTGCACTGCGGGCAGATTCTTTACCTTTGAGCCAACAGGGAAGCCCTGGTGATCAGCTAACTCTTCCCTAAAATAATCTACTTCTCCTGAGGATGAAGAGTGGGGAGAATCAGAGCACAGGTGGATGGCCCTCCTGGGGTTCAGGAGGAGGCAGGCCAGGGAGCTTTCTCCAGCAGCGCTCAGCAGCCCCGCTGAGTGTGGAGAACACTGGCGGGAACAGGCTGCTCCACGTGTAGCACTCTGCTGGCCTGAGCTCCAAGGAGCTGGGCTTCTGTGCGGGAGGAAGCTTTTCTTCTCCAGATTGTGAGCAAAGCTTGGGGACCACTCCTTAGTCACTTCACTCTCTCTCCTTGCAAACTAAACTAGTGTCTGGCACACGACACGCTCAGACATTTCAGCTGAACTCCCAGAGACGCAGAGTGTCCCAAGGGTCTCCTGAGGTCACTCTCGCAGGCCTGGGCTCTTGCTCTGCCTCCTTGGGCCCTCCTTCCGCTCTAGCCTGAACCCAGAGCTCCTTCAGCAAGCTCCTCCCAGCTCTCCTTCCTCACTGGCATCACCTGCATTTATTTTTGTCAGGGTTTTGATTCCAGAAGCTCATCACTCTCCTGAGTTCTCCAAATGTGAACAAGAACTTCAAAATATAACTTCTGAGGGAGCCAGGCTCCAAGACGGTGCCTGTTCATCCCCCAGCCCTAGTGTTCACACCATTTGTGGTCCCTTCTTCTGGTACCCAGAGGTCTGTGTGACCAGAGACAGGGGGAGAGTGACCTACGTCACTCCCAAGATTAGCGTGTGAAAGACTGCAGCTTCGGCTTGGCTGCTGTCTCTCTTACCCTTCCCTTGGGATGAAATCTAGTTCCCAAATGGTGGTGTTGGGGGGGTTAGGACAAGGAACTGAGACCTCCGGCCAACAGCCACGTGTGTGGCCTGGAGGTGGATCCTCCAACCCCAGTCGAGCCTTTAGGTGACCGCAATGCTGGAGGCCAGCTTGACTGCCACTTCCTCAGAGACCCAGAGCCAGAAGCATCCAGTCAAGCCACTCCCTGATTCCTGACCTTCAGAAACTCTGTGAGATAATAAGCATTGATGGCCCTCAGCTGCAAAGCACTGGGGTCATTTGTTACCCGCAAAAGCTGACTAACACACTCCCTTCTTGGCAACAGATAGGAGGGATGGAAGACTGGACAAGGCTCGCGCTGCCGCGCACCTGCCGGACAGGCCCATCCCTGGACGCTGAAGACTCACCATCACTATAGTCCACAGGGGAGTAAGACCCAAGGAAGAGAGAAGCAGCAAAACTGCTGACCAAGGAAATCCTCTGCGAAAGAGAAAGATACAGGGAGATTTACGGCTCACTTTCATCAACAACTGACTGCTTGTGACGCACACACAACAGGACAAGAGCCTTAAGTTGGGGAGGGAGGTAGAAACTTGGAGCCAGACGCCCCAGCAGTGAGAGGACGGAGGATCCCTCGTCTCACAGAGCACTTTGAGTGGCTGGAACACCACGCAGTGACTCCTTAGGAAAGCCCCTCGCTCCGCGGCTTCTGACAAGTCATAAAACAGCCAGGTTCACAACCACAGAGGGAAAAAATGAGTTCCCTGGTGGTCTAGAGGTAAGGACTCCGCGCTTTCCCTGCTGGGGGCCTGGGTTCAATCCCTGGTCAGGGAACTAAGGATCCCACAAGCCTCGCAGTGCAGCCAAACAACAAGAAAAACAAAACCCTATGAAGAAGCCAGGCTGAGGGAAGGCAGTTTTCACCGGAATCCATATGCTGGGGAGTGTGGTGCCCTGATTTCCTTCCTCCATTTCTATGGCCTTTATTCACAGAGGAAGTAGATGTATGGCCACAGAATTCAGAGCCAAGCAAGACCGTCTCAGGAGTTCAGAATGAGTAGAAGTGAAAGCCGTCCCCTTTGGAAGCCAGAGACCCCAAACATGAAAGGCAGGAACAGATGATTGATTTCAAATGTCACCCAGAGGGTCTGTCCCACATGGGAATCACAGGCACGTGGACCAGCGCAGAGAATGCCATCACCTCCTGTTCACAATCGAGCCACCTCTTCTACACACAGACTCTGGAGAATTTTTATCATCCCCTCCACTTCATTAATGGCTGACACTGCAGAATAATCTGGAACTTTGACTCACTAAATAGTAAACTGCATGTTAAGACTGAAAAAGCAGTATGGTTTAACACAAGCCGATCATTTTCTAATTACTTAGAGATGACTATCACTAGCCAGGCCATTGAGCTGCTCCTCAGGTGGCATTAAGTTCCGGCTTTCAGCAACTGTGGCTCAAGGAATGGAACCTGGGTTCCTGGGATACAGGTTCTGGTGTTGAAGGGCCACAGCTAGAGATACACTAGTTCAGGTTTACAAATTTCCTAAGAAAACAGAGACTCCAAGCCTATCAAGCGCCTATTAGGCATCCTGAATCAACGATAGGATACTGAGCCCAAAAGTAAAAGTGTTAGTCACTTAGTCGGGTCCAACCCTATGCAACCCCACGGACTATAGCCTACCAGTCTCCTCTGTCCATGGGATTCTCCAGGCAAGAATACTGGAGTGTGTTGTCATTTCCTTCTCCAGGGGAGCTTCCTGATCCAGGTATCAAACCCAGGTCTCCTGCACTGCAGGCAGATTCTTTACTGACTGACATACCAGGGAAGCCCAGGAAATTGAGGAGACAGAGATGAAGAGCACCCAGATCCACTCAGGTGGTCCCCGGAAGACACCAGGCCCCCTGCTCCCACTCTGACCCTGACCTCTACCCTCTGGTCAGGAGAGTCTCTGACTTTCCTTTCCTACAATTCCATTCTTTCCTTCCTCTTTGGAAAAAGCCTGACAATGAGAATAAAAGCAAATTGAATACATATCATTTTTAATGTCTGCTCATCAATGTTTTTAGCCCATGTACATGAGATGTACATTTATGCAAAATTACAGAAAGAATTCGACCCTGACTTGTAATCAAAGAGGAACATTTAACCAACCTCTGTGTGTGAGTAGGCCTCGGGGTTCTGCTGGTAAATCTTTGCAATCTGGTTTCCTGTAAATCGCTGGAAAAAGAGCGCAAGTGCTTAAAAACCCATATCCTATGGAGAATGATCAACTCCATAAACTACTCACAGAGTTAGCACAGCAGGCTCTGAATAAAAGCTTAAGAAGGTTTCTTAAATCTGGAAATGTGTGATGTCTGTTGAACACCCTTAGTAATAATCTCGCTTCTCATGTGGCAGGATGTCTGCTCTGACCGAAGGCGCCCATGCAGGGGACTCATGTATTTTCCTAACCCACAGCCTTCCTACTTCAGGTGGCCCAAATAGGGCTGGTCTTATCCCCAGAACCTCTACTCCAGGGAGGGTGGCACAATCCTGGCTGAGCCAACAGCAGCCACCCCGTGGGAGGGGGCGGGACTGCAGCTGAAGCTAACAGGAAAGAGGTACTCAATTTTTTTTTTTTTTACTTTCCCAGGAGCTGCACCAAGTGTCTGTAAACAATGACTCCTTTCAGCTTCAAAACTACCCAAAACGTAAGTGCTCCTTGTTTCTCCAAGTTAGAGAGGCTGAGATCGAGACGCCATTGTCACCCACAGACACAGCTCAGCTCTGACCTGGGAGCAGCATTAGCAGGCCTGCCCTTGCTGGACGGGCAGTGCAGCGGGTCTAGCTCAGAACTGCAGGCCAGAGTGCCCGGGCCTGGCTCCACGGGGCAGCAGCCACACTGCCTCCCATGATGCCCACAGGGGCCGGTCACCAGCGTGTCCTCCCAGACCCCCAGGGAGAAGGGACCAGGGCCGGCAATCAGGTCTTCCTCCTAGCCCAGCCCCTGTCCCCAGATCACCTCGTAGGCGCGGGAGCCGGTGAGGCGGCTGAGAGCCCGGGCCCCGCCCACGGCAGCCTCCAGCTGGCGGCACTGGGCTGCGGTGCTGGAGTCCATCCACACCGGGCAGTCGCTGATGGAGAAACAGGCCTGGAAAGAAGGAGCACGGGCGTGAGCTACGCCTGCTGACCCTGGGGGCCACCCTGCCCAGCACAGCAGGTATGAAGCGGACGTCTCTTCCCTGGACGTGACCTTGGAAACCCGTGGGTAAGCCATTCACGTCCAAACCTTGGTCTGGCCTGGGGGGGCGGGAGGGGGGTCTTTCCCCAGAAAGCTCTAGGTAGAAGGTTCTGGTGAGCATACTTGAGCACCATAGGCAACACGAGACACAGCAAGGGTGTGGCGGGGGGCCAGAGCTGCAGCCAAGGGCAGACTGGCCGGGACACGTGGAGCTTGGGAGAAGAGGAGAAGCCAGAGCCTGCCTGAGCAGCACCAGGGGTAGCACTAGGTCCCTGGGGGAGTTTTCTGAGCAGGGAGCTTGCCAGAGTCGTGCTGGACTGCAAGGGCCCCACGTGATGAGGGCGGTGAGCACCCGAGCCTTTGTCCTGACCACAGTGATGTGCATGGCAGGCCACGCTCACAGGACTGCTGCTCAGCCATCTTCCCACACCCCTGACGATGCCCCAAAGCCCGAGGCTTCAGGACCTACGGAGTTCAGGGCCCTTCTTCCCTACCACCTCCCACAGAAGTTTCTCAGCCTCCCACAAGCCGGCCATAGTCACCTGTAGCTGCTCACGCAGCGGAAGGTCCGGTGACAGGCGTGTCAGCACCTGGCCGGCCCCCGTCTTCCAGTACACGCTTCCATGTTGCTGCCAAGGGAAAACCCAAGCCCGTGTCAACCTCCTGGAGACCGGGAGGACCCCAGACTACACGCCAAAGACCTGGACTCCGAATCCGCCCCGGTACTTCTAAGTCACAGAGCTCATCACCTTTATGAGACTTGGTTTTCATTTCTATAATATGAGGAGGAACTCTGCCCTGTCCACCTCAAAACATGGAGGAACAAAGATTATGGGTCTAGATGTTGATGCCTTTGTAAAACTGTATTTAAATATATTGCTTAGAATATTATCTGACATGCACTCATTTATTCATTTACCATTACTCAGTCAACAAACACTGACTGATCACCTAGATCACGCCAGAATAGGACAGATGGCTGGGTAGTACCACCCCTATTCTAAAGGATACTGGAGTTCAGTCAGGGAAAAAGACACAGTGGACAATTACAAAACTCTATTAAGGGATTTCCCCGGTGGTCCAGTGGGTAAGAATCCACCTTGCAATGCAGGGGACATGGGTTCGATCCCTGGTCAGGGAACCGAGATCCCACTTACCATGGAGCAACTAAGCCCATGGGCCACAGCTAGTTTGCACTGCAACATAAGATCCCGCTTGCTACAACTCGGATGCAGCCAAAAAAACCCTATGAAGTGCAGTGGCAGGGCTGTGGAAACACAGGGGAGTCTAGCCAGCTGGGGGTATACGTGCGTAGAAGTGGATATGATGACTAGGAAAGGATCCCAGAGTTGGGTGCAGGGGTGCTCCATGAAGAGAGTAACTGCAGTTGAGAGCGGCTGGCATTGCAAGGAAGGAATCTGAGGTTCGGGTGGGGGAAGAAGGGACTGGATGGGGAGGTGGCAGCCTACCCCTGGACATCCATGCTCGGGAGGCTGGGTTTTATCTTGGGCTGGTGAGGACTCTGGATGGCCAGAGAGAATGGATGAAAGGGCTTGTGAGAGTCCTGGAGAAGGTAGGCTGGAGGCAGGGAGGTGGAACAGAGGCCCAGAGTAACAGTGGGTAGCAGGCCTGGGGCCACAGAGGTGGAGTTGGAGAAGAGGTGGGAGATTCGGGAGTCAGGTACAAATGAGCAGGATTCGGGGACCCCTTGGAATGTGGGGGCAGGAGGACGGAGGAATCAAGGGCTGGGGCAGCTGGGGCAAGATGGAGCGCTCAGGCAGAGAGATGGTAAGCTTGGGGTGTTCCTGGGATACCTGGCCAAGGGGGCAGACGGGACATGTGGGAGGGAGAGGGTGTCCAGGCTGGGGGTTCAGCTGAGGGATGCAGCCAAGACCACCAGGGACTCTGCTTAGTGGAACAAGGACACAATCAATAGGCTCTGTTAGGTCAGGGGAAGAAGAGGCACCTTCAGAAGAGTTGGTGAGCGCTCTCTAATGAGGGCTAAACCAGCATGGGGCAGAGTGACTCAGAGGATAACAATGGACTGGACTCCTCACTCCCCCTCCTAGCAGCTACGTGACCTTGGACAAGTGACATCACCTCTCGGTGCCTCCATTTCCCCATGTAAATGGCAATGATAATAAAAACAGTAGCTAAAACTTGGGGTCTTTTTTTTTCACACTGTCCTATCTATTTAACAGTCACATTGAGCTCATGGCAGACTGGAGTACGGAAGCACGAGAAAGCTGGACAACGTGCCCCAGGTCACTGCTTGCAAATGGCAGAGCTAGGGACCAAACCTGGAGCCCCTGTGGTAACCACTGCACGATACCTCCTGGTACAACTGTTATGAAGACTGAGTTAGCGCAGGTAAAATGGTCAGCCCCGCACCTGGCATACGCTTGGCGTTCAATGTTCTTTGTCATTATTACACTGCTATCGTTATCAGCATGATTTCTGACTTCATTTTTACTTCCAGAAAAGAGAAAAGCCATTGTGTGCCCTCAAACAGTCATAATAAATTCATGTCAAAAGCTTCCTCCATCCCCTGGAGGACCTGGACCCAGTTCCTCCTCACCCGGTGTCTTCTTCTGTACATTTAACTGCACGCGCTGTCTCAGATCCTCTGTTTCATCCTCCAAGGTCAAACAGCTATAGGGACTTTCACTGCCTCGAAACACGTGCAGTGACCCTCAAGAACGCGCACCTTCCTTTGAGGGGAACCATCACCTCAGCACCCACACCGCTGCCCGAGACAGACGCCCCTAATGTTGCGGACAGAGGCTGAGCAAACAAACCTGGCCCGCCCCAGACAAGGCGAGGACTTGAGAGAAGTCAAAGCCCGAAGCCTTCATCTTCTCCAAGATGACGTCCAAAGCCTGAGAACAAACACAGAATCCGCCATGACTGTCCTGAACCACGGAACCAGGTAACGCACAAGCCTGGATTTTAAGTGCCTGCCCTGTCAGTGGAGATAAAGAAGGAACTGATGACTCAGGGTTTGGAAGCACTAGAGTACATCAGTTAAATGAGTAGGCATCAACCAAATAAAAGGGTGAGCTATGCTAAAAATATTTTAAATAAATGGAATCAGAAACCAGCAATCCTCAAATTTTGCCTCTCCAATTGGTGACTTCCAAACATTCCAGAGGGCTTCTCAGGTGGCTCAGTGGTAAAGAATCCTCCTGTCAATGCAGGAGATGCCGGTTCAATCCCTTGGGTTGGGAAGATCCCCTGGAGAAGGAAATGGCAACCCACTCCCATATTCTTCCCTGGAAAATCCCATGGACAGGGGAGCCTGGGGGGCTACTGTCCATGGGGTCGCAAAGAGTCAGACAGGACTGAGCACGCACGCAAGTATTCGGGAAGAGCCGAAACCAGATGGCTCAAATTTTTGTTTCTTTTATTTGCATTTTCAGTGGACCATATTACTGATATGACTTCAGTGCAATGGAGAAGCAAAGTTGAAGCTCCCATCAGAACAAGACTTCAGAGACTTTCCTGGTGGTCCAGTGGCTAAGACTCTGAGCTCCTAGTGCAGGGGGCCCTGGGTTCAATCCCGGTCAGGGAACTAGATCCCCCATGCCATGCAGCACAGCTAAGCATCCGAGAACTGAAAAACCTGTGGGCAGAGGACATTCAGTTGCTACCTTTGTCTGATCTCCAGTTCCAGGGTCTCAGGTCCCCTGTGGTCAATGAGAGAGCCCTCGGCTCCTATCACACTGGCCTATGCTGTCCACACCCTAGTCCTGTGGCCTCACAGGTAACCCAGATCTGGCAATAGGCATCTTGCTTCCTCACTGGTCCTGAGCGGGCAGGTCTGGCTTGGGACGGATCTAAGCCTGACTGGGCAGGTCACAAGTCACCATGCTGAGGGCCCCTGCCCCTGGAGTGGAAGGATCTGGGTACTGAGCACTAAGCGAAGAGTGTAAGGGCCATGTCTGGATCTCAGGGTACAAGGGAGGACACAGGGCCTGAAAGCGAATGTCTGGGAGAGGTCTGCTCTATGGCATTTTAAAGGTGGCAGGACTTTCCATCTGCTCTGGTTTCAGCACCTGGAAGCCCTCTGTGTCTCCTCAGCTCAGGAGTCCTGACACCAGCGAAGACCGAGGCTGGCCCTGGACCGTGCAGATTCCACTTGCCCAGGAGGACCTGGTCTCAACAAGGGCTCTCATGAGCTGCCACCTTCAGGCTTCTGAGCAAATTTCCAAGTCTGCTGGTGAGACGGGCTGGGACAAGAGAGGGACAGGAATCCGTGGCTTACCTGGACCCACATCAGGACCGGAGAGGTCACTGTCAGGCCATCCTTGTGAACATGAACTCCACCCTGAGTCCTACAAGCAGAAGAGATAATGTGGGACAGAGCCGCAGGTGGGGGCCCGGCAGTGGCAGATCCTGGATCCCTCCCGCAGGAGAAGCACCCCACCCCCAGCCTCATGGGGGAACTCTAGATTGAACAGGGAAGATGACAGGCAAGGTGGAGAGAGAAAGCATGGAAATTGCACAGTGTGGCTCAGAGGTGGCAATTCTCCAAAAGCACCAGCAAAAACAAGCCTTCTAAATATAAGGTGTTCACCCTGCAAGGCTGTCACTCGGAGCAGTGGGCATAAAGGGGTTGGGAAAGTTTGGCGATGGATGAGAAGCCCTTCCAAGTCCACTTCCTAATTTTGGAGCGAGGAGGCCTTTTAAACGATGACTCAAAATCAAGAAGCAACAGAACGCAGCACTGTTTATCATAGCCAGGACATGGAAGCAACCTAGATGCCCATCAGCAGACAAATGGATAAGGAAGCTGTAGTACATATACACCATGGAATATTACTCAGCCATTAGAAAGAATTCATTTGAATCAGTTCTAATGAGATGGATGAAACTGGAGCCCATTATACAGAGTGAAGTTAGCCAGAAAGATAAAGACCATTACAGTATACTAACACATATATATAGAATTTAGAAAGATGGTAACGATAACCCTATATGCAAAACAGAAAAAGAGACACAGATGTATAGAACAGACTTTTGGACTCTGTGGGAGACGGCGAGGGTGGGATGTTTCAAGAGAACAGCATCGAAACATGTATATTATCTAGGGTGAAACAGATCACCAGCCCAGGCTGGATGCATGAGACAAGTGCTCGGACCTGGTGCACTGGGAAGACCCAGAGGGATTGGGCGGAGAGGGAGGTGGGAGGGGCGATCAGGATGGGGAACACATGTAAATCCATGGCTGATTCATGTCAATGTATGACAAAACCCACTAGAATACTGTAAAGTAATTAGCCTCCAACTAATAAAAAAAAAAAGCAACAGAAAGAGAGATTGAGATATTCAATGACATAAAAAACAAAAGCTCAAATATGGCGACAATAATCCAAGCAGAAGAGAAGAAATAATAAATTTAATAAAACTTAGAGCACGAGTCGGAGAAGGCAATGGCACCCCACTCCAGTACTCTTGCCTGGAAAATCCCATAGACGAAGGAGCCTAGTAGGTTGCAGTCCATGGGGTCGCGAAGAGTCGGACATGACTGAGCAACTTCACTTTCACTTTTCACTTTCATGCATTGGAGAAGGAAATGGCAACCCACTCCAGTGTTCTTGCCTGGAGAATGCCAGGGACGGGGGAGCCCGGTGGGCTGCCGTCTATGGGGTCGCACAGAGTCGGACACGACTGAAGCGACTTAGCAGCAGCAGCATGAACAATTCTATGGCCACAAATTTGATAGGCTAGATGAAACAGACCAATTCCTTGAAAGATACAAACTACCAAAACTCTCAGAGGGGTGGCCTGTAGTAATATAAAATATGAAAGCAAGAGAGCCTCCAACCTCAGCTCAAAGGAGACATCTGAGCTGGGAAAGAAGTAGATGGCAACACGAGGTGATGGGCAGTGAGACGGAGAGGCCAGAAGGGAAGGTTTCAAAGAGGAAGTGCTATCTAAAACAGACATGGACAGACACTTCCACCAGGACCACTCCAAGCCACCTCAAAATCAATGAATCCACAACTGCTATGAACTGAATTGTATCCTTCGAAGTTCACCATGTCCCAAGCCCCAGTACCTTACAATGTGACTGTGTTTGGAGATGGTACCTTTAAAGAAGTAAGTAAGTTACAATGAAGTCATCAGGGTGGGCCCTAATCCAGCATGGTTGATGTCCTTATAAAAGACAAGGATATAAATAACCAGGAGATGCCAGGGGTGCACTCACATAGAAGGATGACCATGTGAGAGGCAGCAAAGAAGGCAGCATCTGGAAAGCCATGAGAGAGATCTCAGAGGAAACCAACCCTGCCAGCACTTAGAACTTGGACTTCCAGACTCCAGAACAGTAAGAACATAAATGTCTATTGTTTGGATTGCCCTGGTGGTCCAGTCATTAAGAATCCAGTGCCAATGCAGGGGACACAGGTTCAACCCTTGGTCCAGGAAGATTCCACACACCTCGGGGCAACTAAGCCCGTGTCACAACTACTGAGCCTCTAGAGCCTGTGCTCCACAAGAGAAGTCACCCCAATAAGAAGCCCGCACACCGAAACTAGAGAGCAACTCCCACCCCCCGCAACTAGAGAAAGCCTTCTCGCAGCCACAGAGACTCAACACAGCCAAAATATTAATTAATTTATTAAAAAGTCTATTGTTTAAACCATCCAGTCTGTGGGATTTTGTTCTGGAAGCCCTACCAAACTAATACAAAAATCTAAAATCATGATCTTTTTCCCAGAAACCAATTCTCTTTCACAGGCTACTATCCACCCTGAAGGCCAGCCAGAAGCCTCACCCTCATATCTCATAAAAAAGTCTGTACCAAGACCTGTCAATTTTACCACCCAGCTCTCTCTCATCCAATCAATATCATTTCTCATCCAGATGATCTTTGGAAAACCTCCTCAGTGGTTTCCCAACATGTACTTTGGCCATATCCTATCTGCATTGCCACTGCACCCAGAAAGATCTTTTTAAAAAACAAAAACAACCATCTCACACTGTACCCTCCCCCAATCCCTACAGCCCTACAGTGGGTGACCATAGCTTTTAGGATAAAGATAAACTCCATTCCATGGCCTATATGGTCCAGCCCAGTCTCCACCTCTATGGCCCAACCCACCCTCTCTGCTCCCTAGTCACTCAGCCTTTTTCAGCTCCATGAATGAGCAGTGCTCCTTGCCACAGGGCCTTTGCATGTGCTATTCTTTCTGCCTGGAAAGCTCTCTACCATCTATCACGTGGCTAACCCCACTCATTCAGATCTTGGCTTAAGCACTACCTCCTTAGAAACATTCTCTAACCTACTCTTCCAAGTCTAGATCACATTTCTTTACAGTAAGTACTTAAAGAAGTGAGTTCCTGTCCATCAATGGTTTTCTCTGAGTTTATTTTAAAAAAAACATTCTTTTTTTTTTTAATCAATCAGTCTTTGCTTGATATTAATCTTCCCCACTAAATGTGAAGAACTGGGAGAGCAAGAACCATGACTCTTTGCTTCACCATCAAATCCCAGCATGCAGCACAGAGCTTGGTACAAAGTGTCAGCTGATACCTACTACATATATGAAGCCATGTGCAGAATTTGGAAAGAATGCAGAAGAGTGCATTCCAGGCACAAAATAAAGATGCTGAGTGATGTGTCAAGATCACCCTTCTTGCAATTTGAGGAAACCAGAATAGTGCGGTTTATAAATATAAAAAGCTGGAATTCCTTGGCAGTCCAGTGGTTAGGACTCCATGCTTGCACTACAAAGAGCACAGGTTCAATCCCTGGTCAAGGAACAACCATCCCACAAGTGGCATGCAGTGGGGCCAAAAAAAAAAGGGGGTTTAGGGTGGAATCCCAAACCACCCCCCCACACACACACAGGCACCCTAGGTACATACCCAAATTCTACAAGGTCTCTGTCAAAATGCACACTGTCTTCATAGAAGACACTCAGCTCTGCATCAACAGCAACAACTTTTACCTGGAAGGTAAAATATTAAAAATAATGGATAGACTTTTGCTCAGCTTCTATATTGGTCCAGGGATATGAACATCACCAAGTGAAGCCCGGCCCCCTAGTAGTGGTTCAGTCTGGAGACCTCCTTGAGGCTGAGGTGCTTTATTGCAATTATCTGGGTAAGAGGCCTCATCTGACAACATATCCAAAGACTTAGTAAAATGAAGAAGTGGAAACTAAACAGAAACACCCCAAATCACTCAGGGAATTTCTGCCCTCCCAAACAGTCAAAGCCAAAATCCTCTAGAAGCAGATGTTCATAGACGAGCTGGTTCCTGTGCCAGGCAAGAAGGTCTGAGAAAGACCTAGAGGAGAAGGAATGGGAGGCAGCGTTTGGAGACGTCTCTGGGGTGTCCATGCCTGCACGGATCTAAGAGACCAGGCAAGGTCCCCGGTTTGTTCCCAACGGTCATGATCAAGGACCAGAGATACATGTCCCAATGGAGCAGACCTCCAAACTCAAGGGTACAACTCCTTTACTGGACAGATGGGGAAACAGGCCTAGCAAGACAACCTGACTTATACAAGGTCCCCCCAGGAGTTTCTGGTCAGGGATTGACCACAGCCTTGCTCCCCTGACCCATCTGTGGAGAGGGGTTTGTCTTTAACTGAGACCATGTCCTAAATTAAGGAGAACGAGCTCCTTGATACCCCAAACTGGGAAGCAAATCTTGACTCTGCCTGCCTGCGTGCCTGCCTCTGGGAGCAGCACAGTCGGGCAGGCTGACCTGGGCACGCTGGTGCCATCCAAGGGCTGTCACGGACGGGACAAAGTTCAGGCGTACATCGTGCCCGTTTCACTTAAAAAAAAGCTTCAAGCGGTGATCTGGCTCCCGGTCACTGGCTCCGCCTGCGTGTCTGCCCATCGGTCCGGCCCTCTGTTTAAAGGATCTGAGTTCCTTCGGGTCCCTGGCAACCTGTGCTCAAGGAGGCGCGCGAGCCTTGGCGGTTCCCCGGGCATTTCCCCGCCACGTGCCCACGGATCCCTTGAAGGAGTGGGGGTGGAGGGCCCCCTTTCTGGGAGAGCCAGGGTACAGGCCTGGCGGAGGTGCCGGGTCCCCGGGGAAGCCCGAGAAGGAAGCGCTCGCAGCGCGGCCCACGGTTCCGGGTGCCGGGGTCCCCGCCAGCCCGCCCGGCGTCGCGGAGGAAGCGGCCCACCCGGGCCCGCCCCCGGGCCCGCGCCGGTACCTGCTGCGTGCTGAAGTCCCAGCCCAGGCAGCAGCGGCGAGCGGCGCGCTCGGCCATGGCCGCGGAGGATCCGGCGGCGCGCGGCTCCTTCGGTCCTTCCCGCCGCCGGACTGTCGCCGCGCTCCAACGCGCAGACACGCCGGGCCCGCCCCTCGCCCCGCCCGGCCGACCTCCCGGACCCGGGGCCCCCGCCGCCTTGGGCTCTGGCGCCACCTGCGGGTGAACGACGTGAGGACGCGCCGCAGCTCGGCGTCGCCTGCTCTTCGCACCTTGGGCGATCGACTGGCAGCCCGCTCCCTCCAACCCCACCTCGCCCCGCCTCCCATCCAAATGTGCTCCCTGCGCGGACCCGGCCTTATCGCGGCCTGCCTTCTCTTGGAGGACGCCTGGACCAAAGGATTCATCCTTAGGCCGGCTTATTCCTACCTGTCTCTCTGAGAGCCCGAAGCCTGGGACCTCCAAGTTCGTCTCTCTCGGGTACTGGAGCAGCTGTCCACTCGTGGTGCCGACTTAGGGGGCGCAGGGAAACGGACCCAGAGACTGAATCCGCGCTGTCGGCAGTGAAAGCGAAGAGTCCCAATCCCTGGACCACCAGGAAATTCCCTAGGCGTTAGTTTTGAAGTACTTTTAAAAATTCAGCACTGTTTTTACAGTTTACTCATATGTATTCTCTGGTTCCCAAACTGTGCGCCCAGGTGCTCTGGGAAGGTGCAGGGAACCCACAGGGGTGCAGCGGGATATTTTTACTTTTGGAGGAAAACACAGGGATACTCATCTCAACCTTTGTCAGTCTCCAAGGACACTGCTAAGTCGTTGACTGTCGACTACTAGGCAGTCAACGGTTCTAACACTGGATTTGCTAGATTCTTTTCCAGGATAAAGCATCATATCTTTGCACAACTGTGTCATAGTGATCAGCAAATCACGGTGATTAAGCAGTCATGGTGATAAACAAGTACTGCAGGAAAATTAAAGTGAAAAAATAAGGGCAGCGGTTTTCAGTCTGATCCTAATCTTTGAAGAGTTGTGCAACACCCAACAGGCACACACATCCCCTTAGTGAGTAATTATGCTTATTTAAGAAGGAAATGAAATTATTTTCTCTCCCTACTCTGTGCACTAATTTCTTCAAAGAGCTTTTAAGTTGTTAGGACACAAGTATATAGGAAGCCGTTTGGGTCTAACTGTTGATACTTGATAAACAGAACCATTAACCTGTTCTTTTGGCCGAGGAGCACATGATAAAACTAAGATTCTGAAGGATGCCGTGAAGCGTAAAGTGTGTGGGGACCCCTGATCTACTTGGTTGCTTGTAACAGCTCTATCGTGTTCATTAGTGCACTGACCCCAGGTTTTGCTGCGCAGGCTGCCCCCTGAGGAACACTGGGGTGGACTCCAGTTCCCCACTAATGCAAGTAGCACAGGTTGAAACATCCTCATCCATGGTTCTATGGACCTCTGGGAGGGAATTTTTTTTGGGGGGGTGGGTAATATCCAAGAGTAGGGTTTATATTATGTGTGCATAATTCAGAGTGCTGGATTACATCTGAGAATCGCTATACTGGTCTACACTCCCACCTGGAATGCCCAAGGGTACCTGAACTTCTCCATCCTATATATAGTACCTGGCATTTATATCCTTTTTTATTTTATTATCCTTTAATAGGTGAGAGGTGGTTTCTCGTTATTGCTTTAATTTGCATTTCTCTCATTATTGATGAATTTGAGCTTCTCTTCATTATACACTCACTAGCCATTTAGGATTTCCCATTCAGTCTATTCCCTGCTTATTCCCTTTGCCCATTTTTCAAATTGGGAATTTTGTCTTATTTTAAGGATTTGCAGGAGTTTCTTATATTTCAAGATGTAAGTTCCCAATTGGTCTTAGGTATTGCAAATATCTTCTCCCAATATGTCATTTATCTGCTAACTTTGCCCATCTTGCCCTTCATGGACTGGAAAATTTTAATTTGAATGTAATAAAATCTGTCAATTTTTCTCCGTATTGATTTTAATAAGTGTTTCCCCACCTTCAAGCCACAAAGCTACTTTCTGACACTTTCTACAAAGATATTAGCCTACATTTTCTTCTCTTAGCAAGGTCTGTGACCAACCTAGACAGCATATTAAAAAGCAGAGACATTACTTTGCCAACAAAGGTCTGTCTAGTCAAAGCTATGGTTTTTCCAGTAGTCATGTATGGATGTGAGAGTTGGACTATAAAGAAAGCTGAGCACCAAAGAATTGGTGCTTTTGAACTGTGGTGTTGAAGACTCTTGAGAGTCCCTTGGACAGCAAGGAGATCCAACCAGTCCATCCTAAAGGAAATCAGTCCTGAATATTCATTGCAAGGATTGATGCTGAAGCTGAAACTCCAATACTTTGGCCACCTGATGCGAAGAGCTGACTCATTGGAAAAGACCATGATGCTGGGAAAGATTGAGGGCAGGAGGAGAAAGGGATGAAAGAGGATGAAATGGTTGGATGGAGTCACCGACTCAATGGACATGGGTTTGAGCAAGCTCTAGAAGTTGGTGATGGACAGGAAAGCCTGGTATGCTGCAGTCCATGGGGTCACAAAGAGTCAGACATGACTGAGTAACTGAACTGAACAAGGTCTTTGACTGAATCAAGTTTTCTTTCAATCTAGGTGTTTGTTAACTGAATATATTACATCTTGACACACAAGTCAGTGAAAACTAATCTGAGGGTAAGCACTAGATGTAAGCTTTTCAGAAAAAGAAAAACATTTCATTTAGTAGATATAATAATGAGAACTCATTGTAAAATAGGAAAAGGGAGACAAACATAAATTCAGTTTCTATACTCTGTTCACCAATGAAACACCCCTGAACTATCTCTTCATTCTTTAAAGTCTGCAGCCACAACATGAATTTTTCTCAAAGTTATTTTTTTCTCTTTCTTTGAGAAAAACTCTGAGGAAATATGCTTTCTGGATAAAAAATGCACTGTTTTTCAATTCCAATATATTTTATTCTGTTTGTGTAATAATAGACTAGTTGTTTTTATCCAACCTACCTAAAGCTGTGTTCATTAGTACTGATTCTACTGAAACCATTCAGGCCTATATATACAGCCTTCTAAATAAGTAGTTTTAAGAGTGAAAAGTTAGGAGTATACTGGTAGCTTTATATATATAAAGCTAGATATATATACTATATATAAAACTTTATATATAGTATATATACACCTATCCCTTCCACTTTTAACACAAAGATAAAATCACTGAATCAAAAGTAATCAGAAATTGGGAAATGGAATAGATAATTCAGGCACTTCCCTGGTGATCCAGTGGTTAGGACTTGGCACTTTTCACTGCCATGGCCCTGGGTTGGGGAACTAAGATCCTGCAAGTCGCATGATGTGGCCAAAAAATAAAAGGTTTTAAAAAATCAATTATAATTCAGATTCACTAATTTAGGGCTTCCCTGGTGGCTCAGATGATAAAGAATATGCCTGCAATGTGGGATACCTGGGTTTAACCCCTGGGTTGGGAAGATCCCCTGGAGAAGGGAACAGCTACCCACTCCGGTATTCTGGCTGGAGAATTCCATGGACTATATAGTCCATGGGGTCAACAAAGAGTTGGACACGACTGAGTGACTTTCATATTCAATATTTTATTATACCTGTCTGAAATCTCATAGATTTCATCTTGAGATATGTCAGAAATTAAATAATTCTTCTTTCTGTTCTATCTCAAAGGTAGTACAAAATTTTTGTAAGATCAGTGGGACGCTGTTATGAGTGAAAATAAATGTTTTGAACTATAGCCCTTAGCAGGTCTAACGTCATACAGATTTGTTTATCCAAGTCTGAGGGTGAGGGGTGGGTCCTGCCTCTAGTTAAATAAGTAACTCAAGCAGCTGAGATTCAGATTTTTCTAAAAGCTATTTTGTGTCTACATCTGGAGAAAAGTTTGATGGACTTTGATTCTAAAGAGCTTTGAGGAGAAAAGCTCCTGCTCTTCCTGCGTTTGTACTAACCTCAGCAGCGAATTCGATTTAGGAAAACTAAATGTTGGTGCTCTTCTCTTGCATTTTCCTGATTTTACTGCTCTTATCCCTGGGAATCTCAATTTCTCCTATTCCAGGAGTGTTTAAAGCAGTTCTGTATACATGAAAGGAAGGTCTGGAAATATATACTTCAGGTTTTGTTTTTTTTTTAATGAGTTTATTTTCTGTCGGACTCAAATATTTATTTGGCTGCACCGGGTCTTAGTTGCGGCTAGCAAACTTTTACTTGTGGCATGTGGGATCTAGTTCCCCGACCAGGGATCAAACTGGGCCCCCTGCATTGGGAGCACAGAGTTTTAGCCACTTTCCATTAGGGAAGCCCCTCTAAGTTATTAACAATTATCTGTTGGAGTGGGACTTAAAAACTGGTGGTTAGGGAGTGACTTCTGCATTTGAATTTACTCTGTATTGTTGAGCTTTTAACTTTTAGACTAAAAGAATAAAGAAAAAACCAGCAAACAAAATAGCAGTAATTGATTGGCTCTCAGGCTTCTTAGTACTTTTACTCTCTTAAATAATTACTGAGTCAAAGAGGAAGTCAAAATACAACACACTGTTTAGAACCCAGGAAAAGGAAAACATCCTTTTCAGAACTTTGGGGATACACACACTCAAAAGATAAATGTATATTCTTGAATGCTTTCATTAAGGAGTGAAGAGAGCAACGAAGCCTGTGCACCACATCTACCGAACCGGCATTCTAGAGCCCATGAGACCACGTATTGCAGCTACTAAAGCCCGCCCACTCTAGAACCTGTGCTCCGCAACAAGAGGAAACTCTGCAATGAGAAGCTCGCTCACCATAACTAGAGTCTCCAGCTTGCTACAACTAGAGAAAGCCCGAGTAGCAACGAAGACCCAGCGCAGCCAAAAATAAATTAAAAAAAATTTTTTAAAGAGTGAAAAGAAATTAACGAACGTCATATAGTGAGCAGAGGGGCTTCCATGGTAGCTCAGATGGTAAAGAATCCGCCTGCAATGAATGCAGGAGACCGTGGTTCAATTCCTGGGTGGGGAAGATCCCCTGGAGGACGGATAGGCTACCCACTTCAGTATTCTTGGGCTTCCCTGGTGGCTCAGAGGGTAAAGAATCTGCTTTCAATGAGGGAGACCTGGGTTCGATCCCTGAGTTGGAAAGGCCCCCTGGAGGAAGGCATGGCAACCCACTCCAGTATTCTTGCCTGGAGAATCCCCATGGACAGAGAAGCCTGCCGGGCTACAGACCATGGGGTGGCAAAGACTCGGACATGACTAAGCGACTAAGCATACATAGTGAGCAGAATTGTGTATTCCCCAAATGTATGTTCAAGTTCTAATTCCCCATACCTGTGAATGTGACCTTATTTGGATATAAGGTCTTTGCAGATGTAATCAAATTTAAATGACTTTGTAATGGGTGGACCCTAATCCAGTCACTGGTATCCCCATAAGAAAAGAGAAATTTAGACACACACACAGATACACACTCAAGGACTGCTGGCAACTACCCAAAGCCAGAAGAGGCACAGAAAGATTCTTTCCTAGATTCTCCAAAGAGAACATTCAGTTCAGTTCAGTTGCTCAGTCGTGTCTGACTCTTTGCAACCCCATGGACTGCAGTACGCCAAGCTTCCCCGTCCATCACCAACTCCCGGAGCTTACTCAAACTCATGTCTATTGAGTCGGCGATGCCATCTAACCATCTCATCCTCTGTCGTCCCCTTCTCCTCCTGCCTTCAATCATTCCCCACATCAGGGTCTTTTCAAATGAGTCAGTTCTTCACATCAGCTGCCCCAAGTACCCCACCATAATCTTAATTTTTGGATTGTAACCTCTAGAATCGTGAAAAAGCAAATCTCTATTTTTAAACCACCCACTTGGTGGTACTTTTCTCAGCAGCCCCAGAAAACTAATACACTCCATAAACCAGGGGCTCTGAAAGATACACAGCCTTATGATGAACTTCCCTCTATGTATAAAGAAATGCCTGGATTTTACATAACTGCTGAAGTCCCACTGTTAAACTGCCCGCTTCTCTAAATATTCTGTCATGGACAGCTTTTCATGTCTGTAAATATAGAGCTTTAATAAATTGTATTGACTATATAATCTGAACAGTAGCATCTCTTAGTAATAACTTAAAGTTTGTTTAAAAAAAAAAATTGGGACTTCCCTGGCAGTCCAGTGGTTAGAATTCCACTCTTCAACTGATCGGTACATGGGTTCCACCCTTGGTTGGGGAACTAAGATCCCGTAAGCTTCACGCCCCCACCCCCTGCCAAAAAAAAATGGAAAATTTTTTTAAAATGTATTTATTTGGCTGTGCCAGGTCTTAGCTGCAGCACACAGGGTCTTCATTCTTCATTGCAGCAGGTGGGATCTTTAGCTGCAGTATGTGAACTCTCATTTGCAACCTGTGGGATCTAGTTTCCTAACCAGGGATCAAACCTGGGCCCCCTCCCTTGGGAGTGTGGAATCTTAGCCACCAGATCACCAGGGAAATCCCCTCAAATTGTATTTTCCCCAAATTATGTATTTTTAATGTAACAAAGCTGCAGTGAACATCCTTGTGTACACCTGTCTTTGTATCTCCTCCTTTGGGTAAGTCAGGGGAGGATTCCTGAGTCAAAGGGTAGACAGAATCTAAATATCAATATCTGTACATCTTACCAAACTCCCCTCCAGAAATACTGCACAATGCACCCTTCTAATTGCAGTCAAGTAAGCACCCCGCTCTCAGTTCCTTCATTACTCTGCCTTCTGCTAATCTCTCTTTTTTAACATTCTCATTGATACATAAGTCACATACCACACAATCTGTTTAGAGTGCTCAATCAATGGTTTTGAGTGTGTTCACAGAATTGTGCAACCATTGCCAACCAATCTTAGGACACTTTCATAAACCCCCAAAGAAATCCCACTGTTCATTCTTTCCCATTCTCCCCAAACACTGACAACCACTAATCTACTTTGCCTATTAGGACATTTAAATTAAATAGAACCATACAACCTCTGTGACCTCTTCTGACTGGTTTACTATACTCAGCATATTTTTCAAGACTCATTCACACAGTAGTGAAGCTGAGCCTCCTAAAACAGAGTTCCCTTATCTGGTTTATGATTAACCTCTATATCTAAACCATTATTCCTTTTCTTGTCCCCTCGACCTTAATCCTGTGCTCACTGAACACTAATCAACTAGAGGTATCTGATGACTAAAACAGCTACTGTTTATAACATGATAACATCGTCTATGTACTAAAATTGCTGTTGTAGATATCTAATGTACAAACTCAAGTTACATCTCCAGGGCAAGATGAGTTCACAGGCCCCTGAGCCATGGACCATCTTCCTGATCAGAGAACTGGAAACTGGAAAACTCATGACTCCTTGAAACTATGATTTTTAAAATATCACAGAAATGATACAAGACAATGACTAATCTCAGCTTCCTAGTTCTTCCCTTTTAAAAACACCTCCAATTCAAATTTGGAATGGATCGGAAATGTGTCCCCCACTCCCTTTCTTGGTACTCTGCAATAAACCATGACTTTGCTGCTAACATCCAGTGTCAGAGTTTGGCCTTCTACACTGCAGACACAGGAGCCCTTTGCTAGGTAACAGTAGTGCGTATAAGTACTTCATTCCTTTTTTGGCCAGAAAACATTCTATTGTATGGATATATCACCCTACAGCCACCAGAGTGACCCTTGTGGAAGGCAAAACTGACTCTGCGTCCACTGCCTAAAAGCCGGCAGAAGCTCCTCACTGCCCTCAGGATAAAGACACAGTCTGACCTGGGCCTACGGGCGTGAACACATCTCAGCTCCAACGACCCACATTTCAAGTCCTCAATGGCCGTATCTGGCCAGTGGCTAGCCTATGGCCTGTTAAAATATACAATGCCAAACTCTAGGTAATATTAGCCATTGATTAGATAAACAAATGGGCTTTCCTAATGGTTCAGAGGTAAAGAATCTGCCTGCAATGTAGGAGGCACGGATTCGACCCCTGGGTAGAGAAGATTCCCTGGAGAAGGAAATGATAATGCCTTGCAGTATTCTTGCCTGAGAAATCTTATCACACAGAGGAGCCTGGTGGGCTACAGTCTATGGGGTCACAAAAGGGTCAGACACTACTTAACAACTAAACAACAACAATAACATATAAGCAAACTAGGTCCTGTCTGCAAGTGATTGACAAACCCTGGCCACCTAAGGAATATCTGAGTGAGGTAGGGGTGTTCTAGATCTTCTGCCAATCACATCTGTGGCCACCAGCTCTTTCGACTCTGCCCCATCAGTGTCCAGACCCATGTCTTCCTCCTGTTCCCTGCAGCACTGGCTGAATCCTTCCAGCAAAGTAATGTGAGATGAGGCATTTAAACAGAGGAAATGGGTGGGCCATCACAGCTCACAGACAGGCCTCTCCCAGAAGGTGGAAGGGAGGCCTTTAAAATATCCTGTCGTCCTGTAAGCAGGAACTTCGTGAGATCTTTTCTCCTGGGCCTTTCAAACCCCTCTTTGGAGGCAATCCCGGGAAACTGGGGAAATCAGAAAATGATATCTTTATACATTTAGAATGGATAAACAACAAGGCTCTAGTGTATAGCAGAGGAAACTACATCCAACATCCTGGGATAAACCATAATGGAGAAAAACATTTAAAAAAAAAACAAATTTGTATATGTGTATAACTGAGTTACTTTGCTCTACGGCAGAAATTAGCACCACATTGTACATAAATCAACTATACTTCAATTTAAAAAAAAAGGAAAATGGTATTTTAAGATGGAGTCCTGGACACCAACTTCTTACTGTCCTGAAGTTTGGGTGCCCTGCTACCCTGCACTCCAGCCCCTGCCTGGGAGACCCTGAGGTTCCATGAAAACACTCCTTCCTTCCCACAGAATCTCTAGGGAGTTAGCACCTCCCTGCAAACTGATAATGATCTTCCAAATAAACTCCTCTCCCAGGGAGGAGAGAGAGAGTGGAACCCAGGGCCTGTCCCAAATGTTTCTAGGTCTGACCAGTGGATAAGGAATCCTGGGCCCCGCCTGGGGGAGCCCCTACAGTGACTGGGAAGGCAGACTCACCTCCAGGGCAGCCAGGACTGTGAGCTGGGGTTTGAGGATTATCCTAAGGGTGGTGGAGGTCAGAGGTCAGTCGGGATGGAATCATCAGGGAAGACACAGCCCTCCCCTCTCCATGGGATGAGAGTGAGACAGGTAATCCCAGGAGGTGCTTATTTGGGAAAAGCAAAGGAAAGATGGTGTGAGAAAGCCTTGTGCCATGGCATTATTATTATTATTATTATTATTATTATTATCTCATTATTCCTTTACCCCTCCCTTGACAGGTACACACATGGGGGCAGGCCTGTGGAATCTGTCCCCAGCCTGTACCTGAAGCAGGAAGCCCACCCACACCAGTGGACACCTGAGCTAAAGGATGTGGGCAGCATGGAGGTGAGTGGTACCCTTTCCCACTCCTGGCCCTCACAGACACCACCCACCCCCACATCCCAATCAGATGACTCCTCGCTATCCCCAGAGGTCAGCGGAGACATCAAGGACCGCTCTCCTCCAGGCCCATGGGTCCTCTGGACACAGTGAATTTTGACCTAGTCATCTCAAGTAAAACATGATACCTTTATTGGAATGAATCATATGCTAGCTCCCTGAGAGGTGGGGCCATGTCTAAATCTCCAGGGCTGGCCTTGGAGCAGGACTGACCCTGCCACCCAAGTTGGAATAGGCCTAGAATTCACAGCCCCATATCCAGCCCCTCAGCTCCCACCCGAGATCATCCGAAAGCCTGGTCCTCAGTCCTCCTCTTTGTCTATTTTTTCATCTTTAGATTGCAAAGGTGGGCTGGAGAGACTATCTTGGTCCATGCTCGTCAACCTGGAGTTGAGAATGGTGTTCTTGGCCACTTCCTCCGTCATGTCATCACTTAACATGTCCTCATTCGAGAGTTCCTCGCTTATGCTCCTGAAGAAACCATTGGAGAAAAAGTCTGAGCTGCACATCCTTTTAGGAGCTGAGAAAACAGGCCAGGCCTGGCTCTGCATTCTTGAGAGGTGGGGCTTTCCCAGGCCTTGGTGGGTCCCCAGCCAAGCTTCTCCATGAGCCTAGGAGGGGTCCTTGCCTCCAGAATCAGGCCTGTTATGTCTCCCAGCCCTAGTCAGACCCTTCACTCTTCTGCATCTTTGGGATGCTGTTTACCATCTTTATCACTGGCATTTACTGAGCACTTGCCTTGTGCCACTGTGCCAACCACTCTATTATTTATTTATTGAATTTTTTTTTTTGGCCTCACCACATGGCTTGCGGGATTTTAGCTCCCTGACCAGGGATGGAAGCCCAGGTCCTTGGCAGTGAGATCACAGGGTCCTAACTACTGGAATGGCAGGGAATTCCCGCAACCACTTCATTTGGGTTTAACCTTCCAAATTCCTATGAGAGAGGAAGGCAAGGTTCTGTGTCTTTACCTCTCCACGCCTCAGTTTCCTCATCTGTAAAATGAGAGACAGTGACAGGACCTACCTGTCACTACTTCATGTGGTGATTTTTAGGACAAAGGTGGAAAGGCATGCAACTAGAACAGGCCCTGACACATGGGAAATGCTCCATACACGTTAGCTCTTGTTATTATTACGTTATCATCCCATGTTGCAAATACTGAATCTCAGAGGTAGTAGGTAACCTCCCTACGCACATGCTAGCAAATGTTATCAGGGACAGAGATCCAGGCTCTCTGGCTCCGGAGCCTGTGCTTTTAGCTACCGTCCTAACTAACTAAACACTACTATGTCCCTCTGCTGCATGCCACTCCCCCTCTCTACAACGGACCAAACGCCTATTCATCCTTCAAAGCCCTACTCAAATATCCCTTCTTCTGGGAAGCCTGCTCCAAATCCCTAAACTAAAGTTCCTCTCTCCTGGGGTTCCTATAGGTCCTGTATATTCCTGTGTCAGAGTCCATTGGTGAAAACTGCTTGCATATCTGTCTCCCTTGCTCAAGCCCGGGAACCCTTACCTTTGACAGCCCAGCTCCGGTACCATGCCTAGTTCAGGGGCTGTCAGTGAGAGTTTGAAAAAGGAGGCGGGAAGTAGGACGATGGTGGGAAGGAGGACTGAGGAAGCCAATGGCAGAGGCCCCAATGCTATGAGCAGAGGGCACTGGAAGACATCAAGCAGCCTCTGCCCCTCTCAGTTGCTCAGGTCCAGGGAGAGAGCTGTGGGTTCTGCTGGCCTAAATCCTAGAAGGAGTGTTTGTACCAATCCTGACAAGCCTTTTCCAGGGCACTTGAGACCAGAGACCAGAGAGCCCATGAAACAAGTTGGGTGGAGCCCATTTCCCAAGCAGGGTCCTGGGCTATTGGGGCCAAAAGGCCAGAGTCATAAATCAAGACTGGGTCCCTTTGGTGACTTCCCTGGCTGTCCACAGGTTAAGAATCCATGCTTCCACTGCAGGGTGCATGGGTTCAATGCCTGGTCAGAGAACTAAGATCATCCATGCTATGCAGTGGTATGGTCAAAAAAAAAAAAAATCATAATAAAAGACTGGGTCCTTTTTGAGGAACTGGGAGTTCAGAAGGGAATGGAGAAGTACTCAGAAAGCTGATTCCAAGCTAGTCCCCTGTGCCCTGGGAAGGGAGGAAGCCCAGAGCATCGCCACGGGCATCACCCCCGTGTAGGCAGGCATCAGGGGCTGAGGAAAGAAGGTCTGGCCCACGCTGGGTCAGGAGAGCCAGACAGAATGGGAGCTGACGGAGGCTGGGCTGGACCAAGGCAGGTGGCAGCATCCAGGAGAGCGAGGGGGTCTGCTGTGAGTAGAGAGTAGCCTTTGTATCATAGGCCTTCTGGCAGCGGGGTGGCGACGGACAGTGTCTGACATGCTCTCGTGGCCAACGGCTTAAAAACCAGGCCCTGTTCTGGCCAGAGTCTAGTAGCCACACTCCTACCTTGACTGTGGGGTAATGTGCTCCAGGGTATCAGGTAGGGGCTGATCTTGCATTTCCGGCAAATTGGAGCAGTAGAACAAAGCCACGGAAGCCGAGAGGGAGCAGAGAATGACGGGTAGGATGGCAATGTTCTGGTGGATGAGTGTCACAGAAAAGATGCCTCCAGCCGCCCAGATCAGAGACACTAGACCCAGACCTGTCGCCCTGGAAGGGGAGGTGAGAGTTCATTCGGAGGCTTTTTGGGCCCAGTGACTGGACTGGGTGGGAAAAGTAGCTTCCCCAAATCCCACACCCTCATCTCCACCCTGCCCAACTCACGGTGCAACCTTGGAGAATTTAGTTCCTTGTTATTGCAGAGGTAGGTAGTAATTTTTTATGGAGCCAGGAGTGGGAGAATTATAAGGCTCAAACACCGTAGTATGGGTGTGTGAGGGTGGGTGGGGAGGGGGATACTACAGCCATCATCAAGGGTTCCTCTGGAGAAGGGCCTGGACCCCAGAGTGGCCCAGACACAGTTTAGACAGTCAGTGGCAGTCAGGGACTGAAGTCAGACAGCCTAGGTCCAAGTCCCACTGGTGCCACCTGCTATGTCTGACCCTGAGCCAGTGTCCTTCCCACTCTGATTTCATGTCTGAATGAGGGGTGATGATGGTGTCAGGGGGATATTGTGGGTGAGAGTTAAATGGAGTAGCCCATGTAAACTGCTTGGCAGGGTGCCTGTCACCCGATGAATGCCCAATCTCAGCTGCCGTTATTCATTCTATTATTGCCCACCCCCGACCACACCCCGCCCCCACCATCATCCACCAGGCCCCCCTACCTGATGATGGTGGGCAGGAGTTCAGAAGTGTAGATGTAGAACATGGTGATGGAGGCAGCCAGATTGAACTCTCCCAGCAGGGTTATCAAGATCACGAGGGATTTCAAATCTGTGGCCAGACAATGCGGCCACCTGAGTCTGCGGCCACCCTCCCCTTGGGGCAGGCGGGGGAGGCCTGCCCACTGGCCCTCCCTCAGTCCCCCTCAGAAGGCATCTGGACAGTCCACCCCTACCACCTGGTCAGCTGGTCAGCAGACTCAGAGGAGGGTCAGTCTGCTAGAGGGAATAAGTACATCAGCTGGGAGAGTTGGTCAGTGGAGTGGGACCCCCGTGGGCTCTCAGGCCATCACCTACTGTGTGGACTCAGCTCCTGCATCCCTGCCTCCAGGCTGTCTGTGATCTGCCACATGTTCACCCAGATCCAGCTTCCCCCGCCCCACCGCCCGCTCCTTCCGGAGCATCCATTCAGCCCCAGGCCAGCACCTTGTGTGCCGGGCTGCCTGCTCAGGGCTCTCCCCACTTCTCCTTCATTCTCTGCCAGGTAGAGAGGGGCAAGGGGGCATTTAGTCCCTGGGGCCTGAATGGCTAGACATTCCAGGATGCCCAACTCTGGGGAGCCAGATTATACATTGGAAGAGGCAGAAATGATCTCGGGAAACCCCATTCCTCAGGTCTAGGGGAGTTGAACCCCCCAGCTCACTGACCTGGGGCCAGGAGTTCCAGCTCCTCCCCTACTAGCCTCTGCGGGACCCTGCCCTAGGCCTCCTCCCCGTGCTCAACTCCGGGCCTGGCTTCACTTGACTCTGGGATGAAATTGGAGCCCTAGCTTTATTTACTGGGGGTTTTCCTGCTAGTTTGTCTGGTTTCAGACAGCTCTGCTTAACTCCTTATAGACCCACATTTTTAAAAAGCCACTGAACAATGGAAACTGAATAATGGCTTTGTTTCTTCCATTTTGTTTTAGCCAGTCAACACTGCCAACAGCAGGAGAGGGAGAGAAAGGGTCCAGGTCAAGACACACAAAATTGCAGCCCCCAGGAAGAGTGAGGGAGCTCCATGAGGCAGATCCTGGACACAGCCTCCCCAACCCTGGCCCCAGAGGCTGAGGGGGCTCCTGTGGTAGCCATTCTGATCAGGAGAATGAACGCTGACATCTTAATGTCCACATCCTCAGCCCTGCCACATTCTTCCAGCCTTGTGACCTGGGGCATATGCATTGTTCTAGGACTCTCTGCAATTTTGAAAATATTGAGAGTGCCCCTCCCGTCTCCTTCCCTGGTTCTGAATTGACAGGGCATGGGGCACGGGGGCCCTCTTGGGAATGAGTGGCCTCCATGCAAGTATTCTTCCTGAGAGTTTGGCCCAGTATTAGGCTCAATCTGCAGTACACAGCTGACTTTTTCCTGGTGAGGCTACAGATGACATAGAGCTGGGGTAGCAGTTGAAGACTGCCTCTGTTGACATTTAATTATTGATGTGGGCAGGACTCGAGGGGAAGACGGCTGCCTGCTCTCCTGCCCAAGGACGATTCCTCTGAACAGCAGCTCTTCCCCTCCCAGGGCCCTGGGACCTTCCAGTGCCTTGTCCTGGGAGGCCCCTCTTCACCCAAGAGGGCTGTGCTCTAGAGAATGGTCCCTTCTCGGGAAGTGCTAGGGCCACTATAGGGCTGGCGGGCTGTGGATGCAAGAGGCTGACTCCCAGGGTGTTGTGTTGGCTGGATAGGGCCAGGAGGCATGAGGTAGGGATTCGAGGAAGCTAGAAGGTTGGGGGGCTGCTATCAGGGAGGCGGAAAGAGGGGTTGTGGAGGCTGTACCTGACGGGAGCATAAGGCTAAGGAAGCACATGGTGGCTCCTTGGAACAAAGTCATAATCAGGGTTCCTCTCCTCTTAAACTGCTCGAGGAGAAAGATGCAGCAGAGCCGGGCGGGCACCTCCATCATGCCAGGAATCACTTGTGAGAGGTAGATGTTCATGCCCAATTCCCTTAACTTTAAGCCCAGCGTGTAATAGTTGCAACCGATAGCAAACCTGGAATTCATTACCGGAAGAGAGAGACTCTCCAAGAAAGGCACACAGAAAGCCAGGAATGAAGACAGGCAGAGGAGAGCGTGGCAGGGTGGCCGTGGAGGACAGGAACAAACATGGAGATCTGGGTTCTATGGGCTGCACCAGGGTTCTCAGGTCTTGCTCCCCCACTGGCCGCACAACATCTATTTTCTCCCTGGATCCCGGAACTGCAAGCCCATTTGCAGTCCCCACCGCCAGCCCGGGGTACTCACCATATGCTGCACATCACCAAGGTCAACTTGCGGAGGTACCTGTTGCTATAGAAGTCCAGGATAGAGGCTGAAGCCACCTTCTTTCCAGGCAGTTGCAACTACAGGACAAGCAGGACCAGCCACATGCAGGGCCAAGATCCCAGCTTGCTCCCCGCCAGCAGGACTCACGAGGTCCCCTGCCCTCTGCCTCCCAGGACCAGCCTGGCTTCTGGCTTTTCCCTGGCAGGGTTCCATTTTGCTGTCACTATTGTCCTCGAGCAGTGGGCTGGGGACACCCTCTGGGCCGAGGTCCCACCTGAAAGGATGAGGAGGGAAGAGGCCCCTATGTAGCCCTCCTCCCTGGGCCCCAACTCCAGGCCAGAGGTCTCTTACCTTATCCAGCAGACTTAAAGGAATGGTCTTTTTGTTCACAGCAGCTGCATAGCACAGCATTTGCTTGGCCTCCTCCAGCTTCCCTTTCATTATCAGCCACCGTGGGGACTCTGGGAGAATCCTGCATGGCCCATCCCTCTCTTACCCATCACTCCAAGATGCCCCGCAGACCCAAGTTGGCCCCATCCCAGCCTCAGCTGTGGACATTCTATTCCAGCATGAGGTGACTCAGATGTTGGAGGCTTTGAAGGTGACCATCATCCTCGGACTTCCATGCCCACCCCTGCCCAAGCCATTCACAGTATCCACCACTGCTCAGTGACACCCCAGCCACTGGCTGCTTCTGCACCACAGCTTCTGTCCCCCTCAGCCACCTCTAACAGCTATTTTCTACCTTCGGGGTTGTCCCCACCTGCCCAGACATACTGAAGACACATCCCTTTGCGTCCATATCCTCTGTTAGAGCCTCATTCTCGTAGTTGGGGATTCTCCTGTTTCCTATCTCCTAATAGCCTGGAGAGTACGGGAGGCAGGACCCCAGTTTTGACCGCAGGGCCCAGTCCCTTCCTGGGTGAATGGAGCTCTCTACTCCGGCCCACTTCCTCCTGGTCACATCTCCCATTGCCTTTGACCTCAAAATAACCCTAGGTCGTTGATTCTTCCTAATCCTTCCAAATTGAAGAACCTACACAGCTTAACATTTAAAGCACTTCTTAAGTGTCCTTATTTTATCAGTCTGTTAATCCTCTGCCCAAACCCAGATCTAGTATGACTATTCCCATTTATTCTCAGCCTCAGGGCCTAGTGGCTTGCCCAAACTCACAGAGGCAGAGCTAGTATGAATCCCAGTCTCCTGGAAAGGCACTCTTAACAAAACTTTGCCATCAGCCCCTGCTGATTTTTTGTAACTGTTCCTCTTCCTGCCCCAGCCTGGATTCTGTGGCTGGTCACTGTACACACACACACCCAGGACTCTAGAGACAACCTCATCCCCTCTGCCTGCCCCTGCTCCTGTTCCCCTCCAGCCCCCCCAAGGGGCCAGCAAGCAGTTACCCTGTTATCCTCCTCCATTCTAAGGCTATAAAACTGTCCTCAAGTCATTAAACTGGGATGTCTCCAGAAAGATGGGAGATTGACCACACGCCTACTAAAAAAGAGGAGTGAAGGACTTTCTTGGTGGTCCAGTGGCTAAAATTCCATGCTCCCAATGCTCGGGTTTGAACCCTCGTAAGGGAACTAGTTGCTCAGTCATGTCCAAATCTTTATGAGCCCATGGACTACAGCCCACCAGGCTCCTCTGTACTTGGGATTCTCCAGGCAAGAATACCAAAGTGGTTGCCATTTCCTGCTCCAGGGGATCTTCTGGACCCAGGGATTGAGCCTGATCCCACATGCTGCAACTAAGAGTTTGCATGCCTCAAGGAAAAGGGAAGATCCCGCATGCTGCAACTAAGACCTGGCACAATCAAATAAATTAATAATAATTTTTTTAAAAAAGAGTGAAAAAAGATACCAACCCTCATGTAGGAGAAGTGGGAAGAAAGATTTAGCAAGCACATGAAGCCCAGAGTGGATGGGGTGGGCTGACTGGGTAGGCAATGCCCCCGCTGCACAGCTGGAGTAGCAAGGGGTCAGAGAACCTCACTCCTGGCTTCCGAGGACCCTGGAGACTCCAGTCCTTGGATGTGGAGTAGTTGGCACTGAAAGCATAGGAGAGGCTGAAACTAAGGAGGACCCCGTGAGGACCCTGGGTGTGGAAACCTTTCTGTGTCCCCCATTTCTTGTTTGTAGGGAACAGACTCCAACCTCCATAAGTGTCCCTGAATTCCAATGGACTAATCAGGGAAGGAGCAGCCAAGAAACAGCAGTGCAGATGTGGGGCAGGGTCCTGGCTCAGCCTCAAGGGATACACATGACAATATCTTTTGAGTTCTTTATAAAGCCCCCAATAAATGGAAGCTGTCAGCATTCTTCATTCCAAAGAAGACTACCTAATGCCCAATTAAAGGAACCAGAGAAGCTCATCAAAAGATTACTTGAGGACATCCTTGGTGGTCCTGTGGCTAAGACTCTGTACTCCCAATGCAGGGGGCTGGGTTTGACTCCTGGTGAGGGATCCCACATGCCACAACTAAAAAGATCCCATGTGCTGCAACAGATTTGGCACAGTCAAATACATAAAACAAACAAACAAACATATATATATATATATATTTTTTTTTTTTTTAATATTACCTAAAACCAGATTAGAGGAGTATAAGTCCTGCACATACCCTAATCTTATCAGCAACTCCGCCCTTGAACCATTACTATAAAACTCCTTGTTGAATCCTCTCGGGTTGGGGCACAGTTTCTGGGGCAGGAGCCTGCTTGTCCCCCATTTTGTCTGGCAAAGCAATAAGGCTTATTCTTTTCTGTTTCACTCAAAACTGTGTCTCTAAGATTTGACTTGGCATTGGTGCACAGAGGCTGAGTTTTCAGCATCAAGGCTGAGGAACAAGGAAAATGAAATGAAAAAAATGACATCAGAGAAAAAGGAAGAATCGAATATAACGTGGAACTTTTTTATCTGAAATTTCAGCTGAATTCCTAAAGCTGGTAAAAATGTCTGATAACCTCACCTTCTAAAGAGAGGCATTACCACCTTCAGGATAGCACTTATTATTTAAAAAAAAAAAAAAACAAACCATGGCCCGGTGGCCATCTTCCTTTGCCAACTAGAAGGGCTAGAAATATCCTGTTCGTGGAAGTGAGAGAGTCTTGAATCTCTTCCCCTCCCCATGTTGCTCATCTACTCATGAAAGACACAGTCTTCAAGTCATCTACTCAAGCCTGATGAAAGGCATAGTCTTGGAGAAAGGGAGTCTGTCCTTACATTCTGTGGCAAGATGATCATTGCTTCACCCAGCACTGCCAAACCCTTAACACGGTGATGTCAGCTTACTCCCTCTCTGCCTCCTCTTCTGCTCCTCTCCTTTTGCCACCTGGGTGACTCTCTTTATTTCAGTGCCTCCTCACTCCTCAACCTCCTCTGGCTCCACAGAATCCACCTCAAGGTCACCAAGACCAACAGATGCTTCTCACCTTTCTTGCCTTCAACTCTGACCATTCCCCAATCCTTAAACTCTTGCCTTTCAACATTTTTTTCTTCTGGTTCTCTGACCACCTCTCTGACATCTCTTTGAGGATCTCCTCTGATGGCACTAGTGCTGGGGTTCCAGAGGCTCTGCCCCTGGAGAGCCTTCTCATCTCAAACACTTTCTCCCAGGGAAAATCCCATGCACTCCAACCCTTCACGGACTCCCCATCCTCCTAGTCTCCAGCCCATCAGACCCATCCTTGTGCATGTCCTGTATTTGTTTGCTCACCAGATATAGCAGATGAGGGGGAATACAGGTATTCCACCCACCAGAAACATTAGCCGCCAGTGGGGAAGGCTGTAGGCAAGTCCTGTCAGGAAAACGACTCCCATGGAAAAAAAGCAGTGTCCCAGGATGAAGGCATGGGCCCGGTGCATGCCCATTAGCCACTCAGTGACTATGCAGAGGACAAAATCATAATCAGCTCAGGGTTCACAAGGCTGCCCTCACACCCAGCCTTCTGAGATGCCCCAGCTCTGCTCAGGGACTGGGGTTCTTCTGCCTGCTTGGGATCTGGGTCCAGAGACAGCACTTCAAAGCCACAGAGAGTGCCTCAGTGTGCCCAGGGCACATCGCAGGCCCCTCGCCTGAGCTCCCAACCACAGAGGTAGCCTCCACTTTGTTCTCAACCTGGCAGTTCCCTCTGAACACCTCCGGCCTGACCACACACCTATCGCCGAGAAGGCCTGGTCCTGGGCACAGGACTTCACATGTGGCCTGACACACGCGAGGCGTCACTGTGCTTGTCTCGACTCTTAACGCATCACTGCTTTGGCCACTTAGAGCTCAGCCTCTACGGAGGACCCAGTTCCCTCTGGCTGGGACTCTGGAAATTTCCCAGTGAGAAGTGGGAGCGGAGTTCCCCAGCAGGTTTCAGACAAGGCCATGGCAGCAATAAATGTATGGGTCGTGGGAGTTTTGCGTCACAGGTTGGAGGGTGGGGCAGGGCAGAAATCCCAGCTCTTTCACGTAACTACCGTGTGACTCTGAGCAAGTTGGTTAACTTCCCAAGGTTCAGATATCTTCCTCAGCTAAAGGAATAACAGAATAGCCCCTGCTGAATAGACAGTTGCCAGGATGAAAGGAGTCAGTACGTGCTTACTAGCTACCTGGGCTTTCTTAAGAGTTGAATAAGCATGTCATGTAGGTGAAGCAAGGAGTGTGAAGGGGGAGATGTGTGGGGTACCAGGGGGATGATGGTACAAGGGCAATGTGGGCACGGATTTCCTGGCATCCCTAAGCCTCCACTGGCTGCCAGATTGGGCCACAACCCCAACTGTCCGGTGGGTTCCCAGCAGGTGCGCGCCGGCCCCACCCCCCTCCCAGCGCCCCGCCCCCGCGCCCCGCCCCCGCGCCCCGCCTCACGTAAAGCCGAGCTGCCGATGGCGTAGCCCATCACCGCCTGGGACACACAAAAGCGGAAGAATATATACTGGTTAAAGCTGCTGACAAAGGCTGTCCCGAAGCCGAAGATGGCCAGCTCAAGCAGCGCCAGCAGGATGGTGGGGTAGCGGCCCAACCTGCAGGAGTGGAAGGGCGCTTGTGCCGAGACCTTGGACCTCTGCGGGTGGCCCCACTCCGCACTCAGGACCAGATCCTGAGCCGTCCACCCGCCTCTGGAGTGCCCCTACCCTTGTCTCCCTTAATTTGAGACTCATTGGCTCTGAATGGCCACGAAGAAGAAGGAGGGATGTCCCAGGGCCCAAAGGAAAGACTTACTTGTCAGTTATGAACCCGAAGATGACAGCCCCCGTCAAGAGCCCAGCCAAGAACACGGTATACACGATTTCGTTGCTTGTTTCGTTGCCACACACCAAGTCAAACTGGGGGTTATATGCAGGGATTGGCCACAGGCCTCCACCCAGGGCCTTCTAGGTCCAGAGACTGAGCCTCCACCCAGGGTGGGCTTTTAGGCAAAAGGGGCCAGGGACAATGGCAGGTAACCTGTGTGCAGCAAGGCGTCATCTGTGTTACCTCTGCATCCCACCTACATCTAGCAGACTCTAGGAATTAGGCCTGGAGAGAGAGACTGGAGACACAGGCCAAGGAAGGGGCTAGATGGACAGGTAACTGAGCGAAGGCCAGAAACGCCAAAGACTCTTTCCCAAATACAGATGCTAGGCTCCTGGCTAGAGAATCAGATTGGGCAGGCCTATGCTGTGAAAGGGCCAGGTAAGAAATTGTTAGGCTGAGAAATTGTTGAGAGGCACCAGATCAAAGCTGTTCTTTCTCCAGTTCTCTAACTTTTGTGATTTCAGAAGGCGGGGCCACAACTCCAGCAGTTTCCTGGACAGATGGCAAACACTGCCACCTGCCCCTACTCCCCAGCCTACTCTAGCTTCCTGGCGAAGATCGGTTAGCCTAGGACTGGGCAGAAGGAATCCTGTTTCTGCCCTGGCCGTGCCTCTGCGGGGTGACCTCGGGCCGAATGTTTCACCTTCGTGGGTCTCAGTTTTCCCCCCACTGTTCAGTGAGGGTGAAGGCACATCTCTGGGGACCTGGGGTAGCTTCAGGCAACTCAGGACAAGGCATACCTCATTTATCAGTGACCGCCTCTTGCTCTCAGGATAGATCCACCCATTTTGACATGAGTCTGTGTGATTGAGGTCGAATTGGATTGTAGAATCCAGATCCCAGTCCACAGGCACATACATGAGGCAAGTCAGAAAACTGCCATTGGGTGCACGGGGCAGGGTCAGATTCATCTGCTCAGCCTCTGACAGGTTTCTGTCCACTGCCAGTATCCAGCTGGTGTTGCAATAGGGCTTTTGGGGTGCGAACATGAAGATATCAGCAAACATGAAGAAGGAGGACAAGAAGTTGGGAATGAAGCTGAGGGCCACCAGCCTCCGCTGGAATGTGCCAAACTCCCCCACCACATCCATGATGTTGGCTAGTTTATCATCCTGGGCATCTATGGCCCTCAATCTCTGTAATAGCATATCCAGAGAACAGCAGCGGGGGCTTTCTGCACCGTCGTGTTGGAGGTTCCTGGGATGAGGATGGGATTTGAACTCTATCTTGAAGCTCTTTTTCTTTGCCATCTCTGCAAAGAAAGGATGCAGCTCAGTCTTCACTGCCACCACTTTTCAGAACATCAGAGACCAATGTGGGAGCCACTGGCCAGAAAGTGGCCTCTCTGGCTTGCAAACAGTTTGGATCCCAACCTCAATGGCCTCTGTAGTTCCCTCCTCTGTTTTGGAAATTTCTTAATTTGTCCCCCCATTGTCCCACCCATTGCTGACATGTAGAGCACTTAAGATTTTTTTAATGTGTTAGAAAATGCTCTGTTATCATCAATTCTGTTATCATGAATAGCTAAGTCCTGAGGAGCTCCCCTGCAACTTCCCCACAGTAGAAACTTTGTTTACACACACACACACACACACACAAGCCGAGGCACCACCAGTCTTGCAAAAGATAGAGGTCTCCGGGGATCATTGCTTTAAAAAATAAATATATATATTGGCTTAGAAGAGGCAATGAACTGAGGCCAAGGTGGGTGGCGGGAAGCCTTGACTGCAGAGGTGGGGGCCAGGAACGGTGCCCTGGGGTGCCAAAATGCTAGGGTGTTGGCGAGCAGTAGCGTGCCAGGCTGGAAAGGCAGGCAGAGGGGAAGAGTGAGGCAGCAAAACTGACTGTAGGGATATTACCTTGGAACAGCAGCAAGGGAGTGGGGGGACCTAAGCTTAAAGCTCTGTTTTGAGCAGAAACCCTCAGCAGGGCTGAAGAGATCTTGGGTTGGGGGGCCACTTGGCTATCAGCAGACGTAGGTGCAAGTCTACATGGAAGGAAAGTTTCTCCACGCTAAGCTGGCAAGGCTCTCACAGATTAAGATCAAGTCAAGGACTCGAAACAAATATTATCAAATCCTTGAGACGTTAAGTCACTCTGAGAGTAGGAGATGGAAATTACAATTACGGAGATGGACTTACAATCAGAGGCAAATAACAGATACCTTTGGAGTGAAGACACAACTTCTAAAGTTAAAAACTACTGAATGACAAGTTGTTGTTCAAATAAGCATCCTAAAGGGAATATTAAATAGATTCAACACAAAGATGAATGAGACAACAGAAGAGGACTTCCCTGGTGGTACAGTGGTTAAGAATCTGCCCGTCAGTGCAGGAGACACAGGTTCAATCCCTGGTCTGGAAGACTGCCCATGCCGTGGAGAAACTAAGCCTGTGTACAATTACTGAGCCTGTGCTCTAGAGCAAGAGAGGCCACAGCAAGGAAAAACCTGTGCACCGCAACTAGAGAGTAGTTCTGCTCTCTGTAACTAGAGATGCCTGTGCGGCAATGAAGATCCAGTGCAGCCAAAAAAGTAAATTCAAAAAACAAAGATAGACGATTTAACATGCATCCAGTTGCAGGCTCAGTGGGAGAAAGAGAGAAGTGATATTTGAGGAGATAAAAGAAATCATTTTCTAAAACTTGAAAAACACAAATCCTTAGACTCAGGAAACAGCATATCCCACTCAGGATAAATATAAGAGAAATCCACAGCGGCAGAACACCAGTGACAAAGAAAAGATCTTCAAAAACAGCTAGAGAGAAGATAGCTCACTTCAGTCGCTCAGTTGTGTCCGACTCTTTGCGACCCCATGGACTGCAGCATGACAGGCCTCCCTGTCCATCACCAACTCCCAGAGCTTGCTCAAACTCATCTCCATCAAGTCAGTGATGCCATCCAGTCATCTCATCCTCTGTCGTCCCCTTCTCCTCCTGCCTTCAATCTTTCCCAGCATCAGGGTCTTTTCAAATGAGTCAGTTGTTCGCATCAGGTGGCCAAAGTATCGGAGTTTCAGCTTCAGCATCAGTCCTTCCAATGAATATTCAGGACTGATCTCCTTTAGGAGGGACTGGTTTGATCTCCTTGCTGTCCAAGGGACACTCAAGAGTCTTCTCCAACACCACAGTTCAAAAGCATCAATTCTTCAGCACTCAGCTTTCTTTATAGTCCAACTCTCACATCCATACATGACTACTGGAAAAACCATTGCTTTAACTAGACAGACCTTTGTCGGCAAAGTAATGTCTCTGCTTTTTAATATGCTTTCTAGGTTGGTCATAGCTTTTCTTCCAAGGAGCAAGTGTCTTAGTTTCATGGCTGCAGTCACCATCTGCAGTGATTTTGGAGTCCTCCAAAATAAAGTCTGTCACTGTTTCCATTGTTTTACCATCTATTTGCTATGAAGTGATGGGACTGGATGCCATGATCTTAGTTTTCTGAATGTTGAGTTTTAAGCCAACTTTTTCACTGTCCTCTTTCACTTTCATCAAGAGGCTCTTTAGTTCTTCTTCACTTTCTGCCATAAGGGTAGTCATCTGCACATGTGAGGTTATTGATATTTCTCCCAGCAAACCACTTCAGTATTCTTGCCTTGAGAACCCCATGAACAGTATGAAAAGGCAAAAAGATATGACACTGAAAGATGGACTCCCCAGGTTGGTAGGTGTCCAATATGCTACTGGAGAAGAGTGGAGAAATAACTCCAGAAAGAATGAAGAGATGGAGCCAGAGCAAAAACAATGCCCAGCTGTGGATGTGACTGGTGATGGAAGTAAAGTCCGATGCTGTAAAGAACAATATTGCATAGGAACCTGGAATGTTAGGTCAATGAATCAAGGTAAACTGGAAGTGGTCAAACAAGAGATGGCAAGGGTGAACATTGACCTTTTAGGAATCAGTGAACTAAAATGGACTGGAATGGGCGAATTTAACTCAGATGACCATTATATCTACTACTGTGGGCAGGAATCCCTTAGAAGAAATGGAGTAGCCCTCATAGCCAGCAACAGAAAGAAGACACATCATGAACAAACGCAGTCTTCTGTTAAGAAACAAAAGTTGTGGACAATATATTGGGAGAATTTTTTTTACTTTCTTTTTGGAGGAATTTTATACTAAAACTGACCAAATCCTTTTTGTGTAAGATGAGACATTTGAACCATTGAGATCCAAGTTGTGATTTGAAGCTTGTTATATTCTTCTCCTTTCTTCCCAGCCTGCTCTCCCAGCTTCATTTGTAGCTACTCTATTCCATCTACAGAGGGTTGTGGTCACCCTGGGTTACCTAACAAAACACTATGAAGTTTCATGTTCACATTCCTGCTCTTCTTCTTAGCTGCTGAACTTATGTATATCTGCCTGTTACATTTTTATAAGGGTGAAATGTTACCACTACTTTAATTACTGTTTTAAATAGCTTTATAATGTTGAAGAATCACTGTTTAAGATTTTTGACTCTTCTTTAAAAGAAACACAAGTTGTTAAGCAACAAGGAAACCAGGAAGAGTGAAGAGTATCTTCAACATGTTGACAGGAAATAACAGCCAACCTAAAACTGTTTACTCAACAAAATTATCTGTCAAGAAGTAGAGTAAAATACAGTTCTAGTCAAATGTTGAGGCAGCAACACATCTGATGGCACTTCTAAAGGATAAGGAGGAGGATGTGCTAAATAAAACAAAATGTATATGAAAATGCAAAATCCTTAAATAATACAAAAGTCAAGCAAATGGTTTTGGTGGAAACTGCCAGGCAGCCTAGTGGTTAAGACTCTGAGTGTTCACTGCCAAGAACCTGGGTTCAATCCCTGATCTGGGAACTATCATCCTGAAAGCTGTGTAGCATGGCCAAAAAAAGAGAATAGTTTGGAGCAGGGATATACAGTGTAGTGAAAAAGGAGTTCAGAAACTGTGTAAAAGAGGAACTCATTAATAAATAGGTCTTAAACCATTGGGGAAAAAAAAACAAAGGATTAGGAGGAAGAAAATTATGTCAGGACAACCTGAGATGCAGTGGTGAGCAATCAGATATTCATTGCATTAAATAGTAAAAGCTCTGTTCAATTGTGGAATTAAAATACAAGATAAAATGGTTGGTAGCAAAAATATATGTTAGGATAGGTATGATCAGAACCTAGGTTATCTTAAAATTTTTCTATTGTTCAAGGTACAGGAGAAAGATGCCAACATTTAAAAGTTACTTTTTTTTTTGGCTGTGCTGCCTGGCTTGCAGGATCTTAGTTCCCCAACCAGGAATCAAACACGTGTTCCCTGTAGTGGAATCTCAGTGTCTTAACCACTGGACTGCCAGGGAAGTGCCTCAAAGTTACATTTGCATTTGATAAAAATTATAGGGATGACCACTATAATAATATAGCTAGGAAAGAGTAGTGTAAAAAGATAGACTAAAAAAAAAAAGACTAAAAAAAAAAAGAAAAAAAATAAATAAAAAGATAGACTAAAGGGACAAACAAAACCCAAACCTCAGTCCAGAAAAAGCAAAGAAAAGAAAAAAGAAATGTAGAAAAAGTGGATTTCAATAAATGTGATTGGAAGAATGAATCAAAGTACATTGATTATCACTGGTTCGTAATGCAGAGACATGGGTTCCATGGGTTCGATTCCTGGTTGGGAAACTAGGATCCCACATGCCATAACAAGAGAAGCCCTCAAGGGCTATAACAAAGACCCCACATGATGCAACTAAGAACTGACACAGCCAAATAAGTAAATAATGAAAACCACAAAGTCCAAAAAGAATGGTCATTAAAAAATATATATATAGTTGGTTTCAGCTTTCTAAAAATCAAATTAATAAGCTGTTTTTAAACAGGGCAGCCAATATTTCCCCATTTTCCCAGAACATACCCATTTTCTGTCTTTATGCTTCTGTAATAAATCATAGTGCCCCCTTTCCCTCCCACAGTTGTCTTTATTTTGATGACAAATGGTCATTCTGCAAAAGTGAGAGTTGCTCAGTTGTGTCCCCATGGACTGTAGTCCTTCATGATCCTCTGTCCATGGAATTCTCCAGGCAGGAATACTGGAATGGGTAGTTGTTCCCATCTCCAGGGGATCTTCCCAACCCAGGGATCGAATCTGGGTATCCTGCATTGCAGGTGGATTCTTTGCCAGCTGAGCTACAAGGAAAGCCCACTTTATAAGAAGGTACACTTAAAGCATACAGTCATGAAAGGCTGAGAGTTAAAGGATGTAAAAGTTATATTAGGCCAATGGTAATCAAAAGAAA